AGTTTTAGGACCAGGTCATGACTTGGTCATTATCATGAGGTTTGGGCTCACATTCATGTCATTATTATAAATATTGTGTCTTCTAGACTTGGTACTAGCGTACACTGTCCACTTTCGTTTCCATGATGAACCGGTCTATGCTCTCGGCAACCGGTCCGTAACGGAATTTTTTTCCTTGGTCGCGTTCTTCTCACGATTTCCTAGCTGCAGGGACCAAGGTCAGAAGATGCGAGCTTGTGGGCGTCACGGGAAGTCATTTGTGTTGCTTCGACCTACTGCCGCATTTATTATTACGTTACGGTACCGAAGTTGAACGAAAATTTGTCGTGAACATCACTGACACTGTCACTCTGAACCTGCCACTCACAGTCTGAAATTAAATGATTTAAATTTATGCTTATTCTGATTTATTCGCTCGCAATGCGCTGAAGTCGAATTTTATTCGTAAAAATCGAGTTATACAAAGAATTTTAGTTGATTTACTTTCCGTAGATTTATCTGCGCTGATAAGTCAATCGAACATGTTTGGTAATTCCCCTTCTCATGGAGACAAACGAGTTCTGAGCTGATATCCTGCTGGTGCAGAAAATTGTTGTACTAAACTTCGTAAAAATGTTGCATAAAACCTAGCTAAATCTTTGTTAGGTTTGTCCCAATGCACCAAGGTTTGGTAGCGTCTTTCCTCTCACTTTCCAAAACATGAATGCACAGATATCTCTTTTTTTTTAATTAACCTGCTTGAAATCCAACCAAAGGTTTCTCTATTAGCATAATCATCAGTTTAAGACATTCCTGCAAATTAATCGTCTTTTCTTCAACATTGATGACAGTGCATTGTTCGTGACTGGGTACAGACCGGTTAGTTAGCACATACCGTACGTGTACGTGATCTTGCTACCCAGCGCTAGTCTTGCCCAACACGCTTAGTTGCAGGCAACCGCTAGTTCGGATCTGCCGTCTTGCCTGGCTTCGCCTCCATGCGTCTTGAGTGTCCTTGTACAGAAATGCCTATCGCTGTCGTTTCTTTATTTCACATTAATGTTGACCAAAGATGACCTGCAGTTATTCTTAATGTTCTTGAAAGTCTCCCATCCATCAGATTCTTTCGTACTTGTTAGTATTGCTTTCATTCTTTCAACGTAGTGTTTTTAATCTTGCATGGCTTCGCATGTATCACGATTCTATTCTAAAACGTATCCTATGTTATTATATGCAAATAAACTTTAAAAATTACGCTCTGAAGACATCTGGCATTTTACTTATGCCTGTCATCCCCAAATGATGTAAAGTACATTTTATAACTTCAAGCTACTCGGTCATATCGTCGGTAAAGGAACCGTAATGCACAACTTCAATGAACGCATTTTGTTGGTGGCTTGGTGAACCCAGTCACACTCACTTTACCATGATGAATAATGTACTTGTATTTGTAGCTTAAAGCGGTTACACCCTTGGGTTATTAGTTGAGACATGCAACGCATGTGATATGTGCGTTCGTATAATTTGTTCGTAACATGTTTTACCTGGATTCATTCATATAATACGGATAATTCATCTATCCTGTTGCGAAACTCATACCATTTGCAATTTTTTTTCGAATAATCTATTGTTTGCCTTATATAATGATACATTTTAAATATAATAATGATACATTTTTTATTTGGTTTTGCAGATGTAAGGTCGAGGATAGTCTTGTTATTGACATAAGTGGGTGACTGGCAATTTCGTGTAGTGGTTAGCTCCTCGCTAATGACCTGAAGCAATGGAGTTAGGCGTGTCACGCTTGCCCTGATGGTCGATCATATTGTGGTCCGGTCAAGGCATCGGACAGCCTATCAACCATTATTATTTTTAATGACTCAGTTTCACTCTAAGTTCAAACGTTTTTTCATCGAACCGTAGATGATTTAACGATCTCTGGTGCTAAAAAATTTTGATTAATGCAAATATATTCTCAATGGTCGTGCTTTGGTTGGTCGACGAGTAAGTTAGGTATAGCGGCGTGCCGGAACGTAGTATTAATCGTTTTCTCCCCTTGTGTCATAAATTTAGCGCTACTAAAATTCCCCTTGTGAGATTAATGAAAGTTTTGCCTAGCATCCTGAAGGCTAAGTATGTGCTATTGAATATCATACGAGGTTATTCTGTTTTTAAATCTAGCAATTTCGCTCGTCAACTGATGATCTTCTAACGCGTACATGTGCATAATGTTGAAACCTAACTACATGAACATGGATTTGCTGGTCTTCATGTGACTAGGAGGCATTAGATCGATAAATGACAATTTTACGTTACTGTATGAAGATATGTTATGTAGTATGCTAATTCGATGGTTTGATGTGAATAAATTCTCAATCAATTTAATAACATGAATTCTCTATTCTTGTTATTAAATTGTTAGAAAGTGTATTAAACTTCTTGCTGCATATCTGGTGGACAAGTCTCCGATATTGATTCTGCCTTTGAGCGGTCTGTTGTTCCGGCACTCACAACACCCATCACCGGAGTGTACCACACCGTGAGTGCAACATCTCTGATTCCTGCTTCAAATCATGAGCTACTGTTCTCATAACATTAGATGCCATTATACTAGTGTGTAACTGCTGCTTTAGAGCGTTAATTTTCGAGGGTTTCGCCGGTATGAATTGTTAAATATTTTATGAATCTCATAATTTTATTTTATGATTTTAAGAATCGCTATATTTAGAATGACTAAATCACGTTCTTTCGCAAAAAGATCCGCTTACTCATTGCCTGAAAATTTTTTATTCATCTATGCAGCAGTCGTAATTTCGCTGATGAATTATAAATTCAGCTTGAATGCGTATGTTTTCTGAACCTGATTGAAAAATTTCAGGGCTCAGAATAAAGGTTTCCTTACCTTATGAATTTCTTGTCGTAGCATCGATTTAGTCAATTGATTGGCTGAGCTGAGCGCTTGTGCATTGTAGCTGCAAGTAGCGGTCATGCGTGCGCCTCCTTCTGACCCTGTTTTTGTCGTCAAGGTAGAAGCACGCTATCATTTCTTGGAATATATCTATAATATATTATAAATAAATATACTATCAATAATACGAATAATATATATCTATATAAATATATTATTTCTTTCAGCTTGAATGCTCTGAAAATCATTTCTCTTTAATGAAGTCATACAGTACGTGGTTTATGCAGTGCCTCATGTGGTAATGCAGTCTTGATTCAGTTATTTCTCAGCTCGGGGAAATTAACTGACTAAAAATAGGCATTGAATAAATTAGGTCTGTGGACCGCGATTAAATGACCTTTTAAAAAGAGGATAATGCTACTATGTACGGTATGTGATAGGATAGGCCATGTGATCTCGGATAGGATAGGCCAAATAAATCAGTGCTAAATGTAAATGCTGGGGTAGGTGTTTTCTACGTGGGCCTTGCAGACGTCTATGTTGTTTCTTACTAGTTTATTTCCTATATCCTAAATCTAACTCCTGTAATTTACTACATCTGCCATTGGCGCATTAATTCGAATTCTTAAAGCAACGTTTTGTACTTGTATTATTCATAAGTAATCAAGATATCAGTAATTAGCAGGCTCTACCGTGTACGGTCCGAACTTTCATTAATGATGCAATTCTGCGGGAATGTTTTGTGCATGGGCTGCTCGTCCATCAGTCGTATCGCTTGATAAGAACCTTATCTCGGCCACCGCAATCACGTGGTTCCCTAGCGGACGCTATACCACTCTTGTCGACGCTGTATCCTTCTCCTACGTATTTAATTAGAAAATTATTTTGAACACAAGCGACAAAAAGCGGTTTCCTTAAAAAAGCAACTATTTAAGCTCCGCTGATGTCTATTCTATTTTCCCTTTCTTAATGAATCTCAATATCAACACGTATTTACCGTAAGCAGTCTTAAAAGATTGCAACCATGCAGCAGTAAACCCTATAGGAGGCTTTTTTTTCCCGATACTCGTATTCACTCCGAAACATATATCCATCTCCTGCACTCGACTTGTCTTGGTTTATATTGCTACGGCAATCACAGAATATTCTTCAAAAACTACAGTTTTAATTATGACACAATCGCCTCACTTGGTTCGTTGTTCCTATGTTAACTTTACGTGTTAAACGAAAACTAAATATTGTACTGGGAGCTGCAGCGCACTCTGCAAATAATCTCGACGTTGCTGCTTTTACGATTCTTTCGTAAATGCATACGTGAGGTATATGCTGCAAGTTTGTAAACTATATATACGAGTTGCAGTTCAACTTACTATGTGCAATGTGGCAATGAGTGTCACAAAAGAGAAATCGGTTGAAAACAACATGGACATCCGGAAAAATTTTATAATAGATATGTAAATGCATTCTAAGCAGTGAAAGTGTATAAAAATTTTTGAATAAGATTGACTATATTTACTTCGATTGACTTGGAAACAAAAGTTATTTATGTCGTTATTGCACGGTTTTGTTCGTCTCAACCTTAAGCTTCGACACAAAACTTGATTCATTTCGCTCGTACGAGGCACGTATAATGCGTGACTGGCCAACACCTGCATATGTTGCTGAGCAATTAACCTGCCGCCGTCAGGATTACGTCATTCAAATTTGGTTCTCTTGTGCACCTTAATTAACCTCGCCTGAAGCAATACATATATAGGTTGTTGCGAACTTGTCTGGTGTTGTGCGAGGCCTTCATATGACGAAAAATAGCGAGATAAAGTTATAATTTTGATTCTGGAACGGATTGCATGCTATTATACTCGGTCGTGTGGGGAAACCACTGACGAAGATTTGTCTATTGCCCTCCTGTGTTATGTTATCAGCTTTTTATTCCTATAATACTTAGACATTTTAGTTCTTCACTGAACAATAGTTAGTGTCCAGTGAAGTATTGCCAATCGATCATATCGCATATTAGTTATTGTAACAATTCAAAAACTCATTTTGGCATTAACTTTAGAATATATTTTTGAATTGTTTCCAGAATCTGTCATTAATGTGAATACGTTCACAGATATACCAGCACCTGCGATGCTACAGCCACCCCGCCGAGCAACGGTGGATCGTACGCATCCTGCTGTTCGTGCCTATATACGCCCTGGACTCCTGGCTCTCCTTGCTCTTCTTTAACAACGATGATTACTACGTGTACTTCAATACTGTCAGGGACTGCTATGAAGGTTAGATGTGTTACTGTTACTTGACTACTACTTCTACTTTACACCGTCAGGGACTGCTATGAAGCTCAGATGTGTTACTGTTTGTTACTTTATTACGTGTACTTCAATACTGTCAGGGACTGCTATGAAGGTTAGATGTGATACTTTTTGTTACTTTATTACGCGTACTTTAACATCGTCTGCGACTGCTACGAAGGTTAGATGTGTTACTGTTTGTTACTTTACTACGTGTACTTGAATACCGTCAGCGACTGCTATGCAGGTCAGGGCAGAGATTAACGAAACTTCGCTAAGTTCACGTAACTTTTCGTACTTACGTTCAAAAAGTTACGTATGGCGTAAGTCTGTCAAAATTTGGCATTAACAAAACTGTCTTACGCATGACTCATCTGAAAAGGTATTATCGAAACCATCCAACTAACTGACCAATCAGAGGCTTTGGATTTGCTGTTCCTAGCTCCTGTCGACTCAGTGCGCAGAGCGCGTGGATGGATCTCCGCTTACGACACCTCCGAGCAGGCGTACAGTTATGCACAAATTTTTGTACGTAGCTTCCCGCGCAAATGTTTCGATAATAACACTCAGTAGAGTCACGTCTACTTAGCTGTACTTACGCTAAACGTTAGCGGCTACGTATACTTAGCATGTTTTGATAATCCGGCCCCTGATGTGTTACTGTTACTTGACTACTACTTCTACTTTAACACTGTATAGGACTTTTACGAAGGACAGCAAGTGTTGTTACTTGGCAGCTGCTACGAATTTCAGGCAATCAATCTGTCCAGAGGACCGAGTTTTGCTCTATTTCAAGGTTTTTATGTGCCAAATTAAAGGTTTACTTGAATATTCTTTTCTGCCTAAATTATATTATTCTTCGAAGCTTTACTCTACCTGAATTACTACCTATTTATATATTTTTATGTTTTCCTCTGGCTTAATCACATTTTTGGTGCTCAGCGTTCGTGATCTACAGCTTCCTAAGTCTGCTGTACGAGTACCTCGGCGGCGAGGGCAACATCATGAGCGAAATACGCGGCAAGCCCATCAAGTGAGCTCTTAATTATGAGACTAATTGGACAAACGTTGACATATTTCCAGTAAATTATTCTTTTGTCGGTGTTTTTGTTGTGATGGAATTTTCTGTATGTGATAGTGGAAAAGAAGAATTTATTATTATTAGTATTATCAGAAAATTAGAATTTATGAAGTTTTCTCGCTCATTAATGAAGTTTCACAAATTTATGAAGTTTGAAAATGATAACTAGAAAGTTGAACGTTTTAGGTAGTCGTAGTTAAGGGCTCACGTTCAAACTGATAACCACCTTATTAAATATATTTAAGACAAAGGCTTTATTGCCCGTAACTGAAACACCCTAAATTGAGAACTTCTCTTTAATCGCAGGTCGTCGTGCATTAACTTGACGTGCTGCCTGCGTGGCAAGAACTACACCATCGGGTTCTTGCGGTTCTGCAAGCAGGCAACTCTGCAGTTCTGCTTCATCAAGCCTGTCATGGCCTTCGTCACCATCATCTTGCAGAGCTTTGGCAAATACAGAGACGGCGACTGGAGGTTAGTCCTATTCTAAACAACGAACATTTGTGAACAATTCTGGGATTGAAACGCAATTCATTGAAAGCCTTACAATACAATTGCTTTCGTCTGTCAGGTTATCAGTCAATAGCCAGATTTTAATAAAATGTTACCCAAATTGAGCTAAGATGCTCAACCGAGGCATTATTTTAATGCTCTAAATGATAGTCAACTAACTCGTCTAATTGGGAACCAGTCTTGCCAACTGCAGTGTGTGTTTTAGTGATACTGCGGCCACGTTTTCGATAAATTGACTGAAATTGGGTGCGTGCTGACCTACGGTCACGACCTTTAAATCGGTCAAACACGTTGCATAATAGCTCTTTTACTAGCTTCAAAAAAAATTAAAATTTCACTTCATACTCGTATGTTAGCAAAAAGTTTGATTAGAACCTATTCACATCAATTGTAAGAAAAAATCAAAACATTTCGTTATGATGTGGTTTGTTTGCAGCATCAACGGTGGCTACCTGTACATCACAATCATCTACAACATCTCGATATCGCTGGCGCTGTACGGCCTCTTCCTCTTCTATTACTCCACCAAAGAGCTGCTCAAGCCCTTCGACCCCCTCATCAAATTCTTCACCATCAAGAGCGTCATCTTTCTTTCCTTCTGGCAGGGCGAGTTACTTGTGTCAAATACTTGAAATATGCCTATGTTATTTAACTACCTAAATATTTAGCGCCCTGGGTAACATCATGTTGTCTTTGTAATGATTTAATCTTGAGGCAAGTGTTTTATCATCCCTTGAATTAGTTAGTACCCGGTACCGCGATTGTTGGTACCCCAAGAACTTGAGTGTTGTCAGCTCTGTATCTCCAAGTATTGAATGAACCTACGGTAAATACTGCACCTAGCTAGCTTCTGAGCTAATATAGATTTTTTGCAACTACCAAATTGTTGAGTCACACAGCAAGTAGAGAATATTTGAAGGGTTTACCATTTGGTCTTTGCTCACTGCCGTTTTCCGTAATGAGTGCCTTTATGGTTGTCGCCAAGGAACGGAATTAAATATAATACATTTGAACTCGTCCGTCTGTATTACTGTACCACCGCCTATTTCAATTACCACAATTTCTACCATTGATAAAACACTGACCTCAGTGACTTATACGACAGGTGTGCTGCTGGCCATACTGGAAGAAGCAGGAGTGATCAAGACTCACCCGTTCCTGAACACGGGCACCGTGTCCGCAGGCTACCAGAACTTCCTGATCTGCGTCGAGATGTTCTTCGCGGCCGTGGCTCTGCGCTACGCCTTCCCGTATCATATTTACGGAGACCTCAGTGGGGCGGGACCGCATCGATCCGTTACCATGCAGAGCATTTCGTCTTCGCTTAAGGTTCTCTACTGAAACTTCTCTAAAGTATTATTATTATTATTATTAATTTTTCTAGATTATTAAATTCTGTATTTATCTGGTTTTACGTTCAATACAGCCAAATTGAACATATGTAATGATACAGAATTGTAGCTTTTTGCACCTACGAATATTAAACCGTTCGATCGGACATCTATTGGTAGTATTATTGTTAGATTGGGAGATTTTTAAAATTCAATGTAATTCACTCGCATAAAACAGAAAATTAATTTTCTCTCAAATATGTTGACCTTGCTCGAAATCACTGCCAGAATTATGAATCAATAAGAATACATGCATGTATTCTGTCAGAAATGTCCTCGAAGACAGCTTGGTATCAAACTTGAAGTTTGAATGAATAGCCACATTTGCTTTTCACACTCGCATAAAGTACGTAACATATAAACAACCGTTATAACGCTCAAATTTTGTGTAAACTGAGTCTTATATTGTATTAGTTTATTTCCTGTATATTTTCTAAATGTGTTGTCGTTACAGGAAACGATGAATCCGAAGGATATCATGACGGACGCCATCCATAACTTCCATCCTCAGTACCAGCAGTACACGCAGTACAGCGCAGGTATGTCGACGTCTGTCCATTATGCATCGACATGAATTTATTATTTTAGTGCAGTGCTTTTAGTCTGCAAAAGCTACAGCAAATTATACTTTCAATTTAGTTGTGATCGAAGGAATAGTTTTGCATCATCCCTTGCTTGCTGGAAAAATTTGTTCGATAAGGGCATAGATTGCTTGACTTGGATGTTATGGCTGAATATTGTTGCATCTTTCTCTGCTAGAAAATGTTTAGCAAAACCTGTTTTCCAGTTAAGAGTAACAGATGAATTGGATCACAACCAACATACGCTGTCATGATGCATGCGAGCCTTGCTTGCGTTCTCGCGCAAAAAACTGTGTGTCGAGATCAAAGCTCTTTTGCTACCGTATAGATGGAACGTAAACTATTTCATGAAATTTAGGAAATTCTGTCATTTTTCGTTATTGCAAATCTTAAATTTGTGGAATAGTTTGCCTAGGCATTCCTTCGAGTTCCCAATAACTAGAGCTACAGCCCCCTTCCACTAGCATGAAGGACGAAACTGAAAGAATAAAATGTGCCCTAGCATGAAACTGTTGATGTGCGCTTTCTATTTTTATTTTGTCTTGGATGTGGAATGCATTATTTTCGCTCATGCTTTTCAGTATCTCATTTGCCGCATTATTTGTTTAATTTTTTCTATTATGTGCCGCACCGGAGCGTTTTACTGGAAATTTAGCAAAGGACTTGAGTTTTATTTTTTCATGTACGTGTTTTTTTTACTCTTGTTTTGTTATGCGCTGCCAATCCCAAGGCGACTGTGCTCGCCCCACCCAAGCGATCACGCACTCGTACGATATGGAGGAACTGCGCCCGGAACTTCTCCCACCTTCAGACTCGGACGCCACCGTCTCGAAGCGCCCGTCTTCTCCCTACGCCAACGGTAACATCGGCGTCAGAAGCCCGCATGCTGGGGGTCTGAAGCTGACCCATGAGACCCAGCGTCAGGGTGCACCTACCTCTAGCAGCAAGGGTAACGGTGCACAAACCAAGCCTGACGTGTCCACCAGTAGCAAGCCTAACAGGCCCATTGACGACACCAGTAACGCAGCTCCTAGTGCTGACGACATCGGTAAAGTTGATGATCCACCACTAGTTGCTATCCTGAACCCATCCCTAGTTACCTGTAACGGCGGCACAAACAGCAGGGTTGTCCTGGTAAACCCCGGCGGTGTCATTCAACCCACTCACTCTTCTAACAAATCTCGAAGAAATTCTTACGGTGTGCTTGGCAACAGTAATTCCTGCATGAACAACAATGGCAAGACCTCCAAGTTGAATGCCAGTAAAACAGGTGTAGTGGATGGTTCTTATGACAATTCTTGCTTTGATAACGGGCTCCTGGTGACCATTAACAACTTGATAGACCTTTCTAACAACTGCTCTGAAGCGCCCGGCAAGTTTCTTGAATCGTCGCCTGCTCAAAATGCTTTTCTTGCTCAAAACGACTACGAAAATTCTCTCAATTCTCGAGCTCAGTATTGCAACTCCGCTAATTTTGAAGCTCAGTATTGCAACGCCACTAATTTTGAAGCCCAGTATTGCAACGCTTTTAGCTTCAGTGCACAGCATGCCAGTCCTCCTAGTGTTGGTGTCCAGCATGCAGCATCAAATATTCTTCAGCCAGTTCGCGTACACCCTCACATAACGGGGACTCAAGGTATAATTTGTTTGTTATTGTAATACGCTCGTTAAAGAACCTCCATTCATGTCGGTGCTTTTCTTCTGTTTACGCTGATTGGGGTAAATAGAACAGCTTCTTGTTGTGTTGATTTAATTATTTCCTTTCTAATTCCTGCAATCCTTCCATTTCGTGGGCATTAATATATTGCTGTATAATACCGTATTTCGTCATATCCAACAAATTTTTTCTATTGCTCTTTCATTGTTAAAGTCCTGCAGTATTGTTACTTTCTCGATTTATGCATGATCCAGCGTGATAAATTTAGATTTAATGTATGCTCTGATAATCAGGAACGTGATAAATCTAGAGCGTCCGTTTAATAGATTTAGACTCAAGTGCAAAAGTTTTTCTCAAATTTTCAATTTTTTTCTTGTAGTCTCAATTTCTGACTCTTGAACTGCCTATCACCATGCCGCGACGACCGATGAACGGAGTTTTTCTTCTGCTAATTTAATTGATATGAGATTAACAGCTTTCCATCACGAACTATTTGCCTTTGTATCTGAAACCACTAAAGCATGTGGGCATGTGAGTCTGGAACGATTTCCTGCTGTCAGAGACGGCAGGCTGGAATTCTTCAGGGGTATTAAATTAACGCGTACATATGGCATATTGGACACAACCTATCACAGTATGGAGAGGATGACATCACAACCAATCACAGTCTGGAGGGGCGCATGCCGGAGGCCAGCTTTGCCAAACTTCACACTTGGTTCTTATTCCTTTCCGTAATTAAGAACGCTAGAGTGCATAACAGCCTATGAAGTCAAGTGCTCAAAGCCTCAGCGCCGGATGTCCACAGCCACAAAATAAGCTTGCCAAAGGTAAACATGGCCATACTGCATTTGGCCAAACCTCTTCTGGCCTAACCTCTTCAGACCAAACCTATACGAGCTGCAACCTTTCTTTACACAAAGCAAACCTGAGCCTACCTAACCTAACCTCATTGGCTGCAAGAAGTTAGAAAGGCGGTCAAAGTGTGGTGGTAGAGCCAGTCATTGGCTGCAAGATGGTTGTGAGCCGGAACAGCGTAAATAGGTTAGGCCAGAAGAGGTTAGGCCGGAGCAGGTACAGCCGGATGGGGAACTACCTGCTTATGAGCATGCATGCTTAAGCATTGGCTGAAGACCTACGGCGCTATTATCTTTCGGCAGTATGTCACTTGTCTGGATTACGGAGTTCAAGCGTAGTCTGCGGCTTTTAGGTCTGAGGCTGAGTAAAGTTAATGCAGGGTGAAGCTAGGCGTTGGCTCCAGGGCTTATTTAAGAGTAAAATTTGTGGCCTACGGCTGCGCCCCCGTCTGAAGAGGATGACATAACAACCGTCTGGTGATGGACATGCTTCCACCCAAAAATGATAAGCTTTATGCACTATCCTAGAATTCCAGCCTGTGGGCCAGCTTGTTGATATTTCAGCACTGCACGTTTGCATGCTATTTCTCATAGATGTTAACTTCATCAAGGGACAGACTTCTGAAAAAAGAATCGACAGTCGGTGAGTTATTCTAGCACACCTAGTCGCAGTGCGTTCATCCTGGACTTGTTACTTTGAAAGAGTGTAGCAAACGTAAGATTCGTCACTTGGGATGTTTGTCACTAGCGTTTTAGGTTTAGTAACTACGTGTGTCATTGCTCGTCTCTAGTTACCCCGTTAAAATGTCCCGATTTAATGCCTAACATTACTATTTTCATTCCCTATTTATGTGCTTCTGCCTTATTTAATGGTTAACTGTTTTGTAATGAGCTTATATACTTTCACGTTTCGTTTGTTTCAGCTCTCACCCATGCCTCTTTGTATTTGTTTGCCCCCTTTCTCAAACCTGCATTATCCCCCTTTCTTTATTTTTTATATTTTAATTTACCCGCATTCGTTCATTTTGTTGTCTACTGATTTAATTTACGTTATTTTGTGTTATGTTAACGTGAATAATTATTGCCTATGAGTCTCGTATTTTGTTGAAAATACTACGATTCTGTCCACGATGCTAAACCTAATTCTTTTACATTTCGTGGTAAACATTCATTTAATTCCTCGCCAGTAATGTTGACATACTTTCCTGAACAGCGTTTCGTATACGTAGTTATTACTGATGATCATTAAAGTCAACTATATGCACTCGGCCTTTTCAGTAATTACTTCTATGGTTACTTTCTTGACTCTTCGAGGAAAGTTTGCTCTGAAAACTTTGATGTCGATGCGATGCCCATGCAATGTTATTAATGAAAATAATTGTTTTAGCCTTTATTTTTAAACGATAACTCGCTGATATTTATCATCACTATCATCTCTCTTTATTTGCTAAAAGTTCCAGAAAGATACATATCCTCGAATTCAGTAGCCATTCATTGGTTATCAAGTCGCTTTTTCGGCCCCTGCATAAGTGGCATGCGTAACGAACTCTCGTGCGTTCAGGAGGCACTCGCGGGTCCGGTCACACCGCCGTCTCCACGTACGACACGGACGATGCTTCCCGTACCGCCACCAACGGCGGACTGTCGGCTAGCGGCGGATATCACAGCGGTGGTGGTAGTGTTGGCCACCCCAACGGCGGTGGTCCTAACGCCAACGCTGGTACAACACCGGCTGGCGGCAAAGTCGGCTACAACGAGAAGACTATGCTGCTCAGTTCCGATGATGAGTTCCAGTGAGACGAAGAAGGAGTTGAGGTATGCAAAGTTACTTGGGTGCTACTGTTCCAAATTTATGGCTTATGACTAAGATTGCGATGAGCATTAATACTTTGAATTGATTTTCATTGATCTTTATGGAATGCATGAGATAAAACGTACTCTTCTATGGTAAATTTTGTTTTTAATTTCAATTGTTCCAATGGAATTTAAGGTATATTAAAATTCACAATTTTTTCTCCTAGCACAAAATTATATCGTATGTTTTTCGTGCAGTTGTGTTGATCAGTTGATGACGCGGGTGACGTTTTCGTCTGACTCTCGACCGTCTTGTGCTGAGGACATTATTGAGTCTTGCGATGAAGAACTGGCATTGACTGAGGTCTACAAACTGCACATCGTCGACCGTTGCGTTCTGTTTCATCCAACGCTACCATCGTATTTAATATTCTTTTCTTTTTACATGAACAGCAACACAAAGGCCAGCAATTCTATGTCGACAGCACTGGCTGTTTATTAGAATTGTCACCAAGGAATTGCATGTCCCCAGGAATAATGTGTACTTTGTGTGGACAGCAAATTTTAACATGCCCCCGAATTCACCAATCTGAGCGAAATAATTTGTACTTCAAATTTTTTAATTTTTGTTCAACCTGAGTATAGAATGTTGGCCTACGTGTTCAGCAGAAAAAACACGTAATTGTTCTAAACATTTTTTTCTGTCGATTCGATGTTGATGGCATATTCGTGACAAAATAGTCTATTTATAATGTATATGTTATCGTCCTTATAACCTTCAATAATCAACTCAAAACGAACTTCAGTGTTAGTAATTTAAATAAATGTCTTAAAATTGCTACTGGCAAATGAACAGAAGTCATTGTTTACTACCTGAACAGTTGCCTACATTTTTTACTTGTGCTTAGGGCTTCACGGGGAAAATTTGTTAGAAATGGTAAGCTTCGTGCGAGCATTTGAAGCCTTTTTTCGACGAGGGAATTTACTGTGACTACCAGACTCAGTTGGGCAATAAAGAATGAAAAGCGGAGTGCGATGTATTATGGCAAAGCTTTAGTGTGACGATAACGAAGTGTGATGAATTCAACTCAACTCCAATATTACATTCCTTGATGACCTCGACAAACTTTGAGTTCTGCTTTTGTTAATAACGTTTTAGAAACAATTGTTTCTGTTAATTCGTTATTTTTGAAAGCGTTGTAGAAGCATTAGCAACGTTTATCCAGCATTAGATATGAAATTTGGAAATTATTAGGTAGTGAAATGATGCCTTCAACCTTTTTGTAGTTTCGACTTGTAGTTATGCTATTTAGATAATCACTTGTATGAAAACGTGCACAATTTTCCAAAAAACTCCTACTTAAATAATCTATCGTTTGCTTTGTCTCAACGGAAACATCATATAATCATAGTATTAATCGGTATTGTTCATGACGATCACATTTTTTGTCAGGCCACGTGAAACATGTTGAGCTAATGCAACTACAGAGTTATAGGCAATAATTGCCCTCAGGTTTACTTATTAAGTGTTTCGGTTACCTTGTTTGATGGCCCTCTGTCGCTCGTCTGGCTTGATACAAATCATGTTTGCTTCTCTGCTTTGACTCTAATATTGGCCATACCTGGTATTGGCTGCGCCTGATGTTGGCTGCGCCTGATGTTGGCTGCGCCTGATGTTGGCTGCGCCTGATGTTGGCTGCGCCTGATGTTGGCTGCGCCTGATGTTGGCTGCGCCTGATGTTGGCTGTGCCTGATGACCATAGCTGGTATTATATATTTCTTATCATTCCAGCCCATTCCAGCCTATATATTTCTTGTCATTCCAGACTAGATCCTTGGTGAGATTTTAACAGTAATAATCATAACGATTAATACCGTGGATTGTTATGTTATTGCCATCTAAGCATTCCAAGTTGACGAAGGAGATCCCCCATTCGTCGTCTTTGACATCAAGTGACCTGCACTAGAAACATTGAGCTAAAAATGTACACAATTTTTAGATCAAATTCCAGATAATGGCTAGTATGCTTTTTTGTGTTATAGTATTTTTTTTATCTTCCGTACTGCAAAGGATCCAGCATAATTTCTCTCGTTTTAGTCATGCTTCATGCTTGAAACTCGATTCATTCCGTTGACAGAACCTAAATGCCTGCCTTTTATACATTCCTTGCCATGTCAAATCTTTATATCCGTTGCAGCATTTTTCTTGCTACATGAAAATTTTGCAACATGCATGCAAGTTCGGCTATCGTAACTTATCTGAGCGCTGCCCTGTAACAGTGCAGTGCGGTGATCAAAAAATCACATGTTCTTTATGCCATAATCTTAACGAGGAGCAATTCATCAACAATTTGAAGGTATTAAATGATTTTAGCTGCTCCACATGATTGCATCTGCAGGCCTGATTGTATGTTACTACGTAGGGAAGTAAACTTAGGAACACATTCTGCATTATTGGTGTACCGAAGCCAAGACCTGGAAGAGTATTATATATCCGTGACGATTCATGTTAACTAAATATTAACATCAAGTTTTAATGTTCGAATTGTCCATGTTATCGGGAAATGTTGCATGTTCAAATATCAATGACGGGACGTACCTCGTCGAAGTAATTCCGAGCATAACTGTAATTCCATTAGCTATTGTTATTTTTCACTTTTTTGTCTGTTTTAACTGTTACGCTAAGTTTTCTGTTCTAATCATAAGGCCCTCAAGCTATTACTGTTTTTGTAGTTATTCTTAATATTTCTCATACTGGATGTTTATCAAGATGTTTGTTTTTATAGATAACATTATTTTCTTTGTGGGCTAACCACATTGTCGAAGTCAATTTGTCTCGACTGCCTTCCTCTCTTCGGTCTCTCCTTCCCTGCGTATCCTGCATACTCTTCTAGTCACTTCCCATTTCATCACTTCAGAGTCTTTTACTTATTTTACTGTAGATTTGATTAACATTTTTTAAACATGGAACACTTGCTAGAATGATTCTCAGAGAATTGTCACATTTATATTAGTATTCTGTCGAGATTAATTAATATCAATTCACACACTTTGTGTCTTGTTGAGGCCAACCACTTTGTTATCCCTGAACACGAGTTGATCCTTGACTCATTCGCGCTTTCATACGAACGCCATCTGAAACTAATTAGTTTACCTACGATTTAGTAATATTTTACGTGGTCAGGAACTTGTAATTAAAATTTCGTTCGAAATGGCTTGATTTTTGTACTTCTGTATATAATTTATTTTTATTTGCTCGTTCACTCTTTGTAATTGAGGGCCTATTGGTTAAGATAATCATAATTACCTTGTTTTCTGCATTGTGTCGAGGTTTAAAATCAATGTACTGCTTTGTAAAACTAAATTCTGTAAGCTGCATTATTTTTTATGCACGACGTAACGATATAAGATGAATTAATAAATGTCCAACGAGGATGAGGTCGTCTATCAGATATCAGGATTTATTGGACGTCTCTCTCCTCTTTGGTGTACTACTCTCGGTGTGCCTTTAGGTGTTGCTTCGTGTACTGAGTATATAAGAAAGCTGTCCTATGTCAAGATGCGAGTGTATCTACGGAACGCGGGTAACCACATAAGCAAGCTTCTTTACCATTATTATTAACTGTTGTGTTTACGCTATAAATCAGAGGTATATATTAGCATCGTATTGTATCTGTAGCTGAATACACACCAAGTTTTTGAACGACTCCACCTCGCCCAGTAAATCTTATACAAAGAAAACTCGAGTTCTGCTTTGGCAGCCAGGACGTAGAGACGGTTTTGAAAGCAAATCTTTTAATCTAGTCTTTTGATGAGATTGAATTATTGTACAAATTCAATTTATTTGTGCTCAGCTCTTTTTTTTATTCCATTGACAATAATGTATAAAATTCGCGCTTTGAATGGAGTCTACTTATTTTTCTCACTCAGTGTTGAATTTCTGACAAGAACTACTTATAAACAGCTTTACCTTGAAGTGTCTAAGAAGTCTGATTAAATTGCTGCAGTGCTATTCTTACCTTTGTTTTACATCGATTCTTCACTAAGAAATTATTTTTTTACATAGGATTCACGAATTTTTAGTCATACTAATTTCCCGACGTGCGCTGATATGCCGGTACACGTGTGTAGCGGGACCGCCGTGTATATTGATGAGCAGCTATATATGAAATATTATGCTCCATTAATTATTAATTCTTTGCTTTAACGTGTGAATAGTATGACGAGTCAAAGATATCAATGTAAATAGCCTAAGAGCGCTTACTTGCTGCTGTCCGATGCCTGCGTACAATAATTCAGGCGCCCACTAATACTGATCCTGCACTTGTCCCTTATATTGTATCTGGAAGAATATATGAAATGTTGATAAAATAATGTGTACAAGATCCATGATTTGATTTAAGAGTGTATATGAAATCATTAGGCGAAGCTGAAATTGAATAAAAAAGTGTATTTTCTAGAGTTTGAACAATCAAATATATTGAACTCATAATGCGCACTCTCACGAACGATGAAAGTTTCATCTCCAGTAACCGTTTGTTTCTTATAACGGATAAGCAATTATAAACCAGGCTCATTGTCCATTTCTGGAAAATTTGTATCTTAATTTCTTAAGAAATTAATTTTTGTCGTTGGAAGTAACGGAGGGGCGATGAAGGTACCTGGGCTCAAGACAACATCGTACGTGGATGGCTTCAGTGTTGCTATAAGATCACCTGTAGCCCCTCCTTCGCGTATGATTGCAGTTCAAGTAAAATTATTCGCCCATTACGCATCCGGCCGAACGCCGACATGCGTATGTCAGCTCTGTAGATGTTCCTCTCCATATATACGCTTTGTATTTATTTTCTGTTCTACACGAATGGTTGTATATTATCTCTATAGAAGATATGTATTTTAAAAATGAATTTTACTGTCCTTGATGTAAATGGATCGTAGAATCTAAGGCTCTGGTATTAACGGCTTGTTCTAAGGTTCTCGCACGAATTAACGATCAAATGTCGTGGACAGAGCATAGAGTATACATACTTTTCTTGGAGTATATATATTTTCTCCGATAAACCATTTAATTCGTAGCTCTTAATTTCTTAATCGCAAGCGACGTGCGTGTACGATAGTGAAACCAGAGAAACTTTCCCAGTATAATGTCATATAGATAAAATAAATAAATAAATTATTAAAGAACAATGTAATAAACTTTTTGTTCATATTGTTCCAAAACCTTCAGCGAATGTGATCTGTCTCTTCATTGTAATCGGCATCATGCGAAAATATTTTGGCCAGGGCATCGTTCAGGTCATCTTCTGGCTTCATCTGCGATCTCATTTTGTCGTTTATTCGTCGCCGAGGCGTGGTGGCTGAGGACAGCGTTTGCAGAAAGTTTCTTTGAAGTATCCCGAACAAAGAGTCATCTTCTTCGGGTTTTTCTTGACTCTGAATCGATGCTATTCTTTTCTGAATTGTCCTGAGACGCTCCACGTTTCCCATCGTATGTTGCGTTGCTGATGTATTGGAAGATTTCCTGGTATTTTCCCCTTTACTTGCTTCTTTGGTCGAGGTCTTGTTGACTGTTTCAGAGCCTGCTATCTCGTCAGTAAGCCCATCAACCTTCGATACACCCACCGAATTTTCCTTTTCTTCTTCCGAGTGTTTGTTAGGATTGACGGTGGCATTTGAGTCTCTAGGTAGTGTGCTATTGTCGTCTTTGTTGCTGGAGAAAAGTTTACTGTGGTACTCTTTGAACAAGAGGTCTGGTCCAGCATCTCTTGTGAACAATAGGATCATGTTATCTCTTATCTTCGCTCCTTTCTGTCGAATAATTGGAATTTTCCCCTTCTCTCCGATGACCTTGTCTGCGTGGCGATCGATCAAGCTTTCATTTTGGGAACCTCCTATTTTTGCTTCTTCATGAAAGAGTCCCGTTGCATCGCTACTACTTGGAGTTAAATCATCTAAGTCCTGTGTGAAATTGTGACCTATCGTGAGATTTCTTAGAACGAGAGTGATGTCACTGTTGGAATTTCCCCGAATTTGTTCTGCTAATGTTGATGCCGTCGTGTTTTCAATGTCACTGAAATCTAATGAAAAGTTGTACCCTGGTCTTCCGATCGTAAATTTTTTTAAAATAATTGTAAGCATCTCGGCAGAATTGTTACCGGGCGGTTCGTATGGCGCCTTCTCAGTTGTGTTGTCAATTCCAAAGAAGCCAGCGGTGAAATTGTGCGCTGACCATTCACTAGTAACTTTTTCCGTCTCGTTAGCAGAAATGCCGTCAAAATTTGTGTCAGTTTGTTTCGTCCATTCACTTGAAGTAGTATTCCCGATGTCATCAAAATCCAAAGAAAAATTGTACCCTGGTTTTCCAATTGTAAAATTTTTCAGCACGATGCTGCTCAGGACACCTGAATCTTGAACATGCTGCTCAGATAGTTCACTTGCGGTAATGTTGTCGATGTCATCGAAGTCCAGAGTGAAATTATATCCTGGTCTCCCGATTGTGAAATTTCTTAAAACTATTGTGATCACTCCGTCAGAAGTTGGCTGTGGCTTTTCTGTCGGTACGCTTGTCGTCTTGTTGTCGATGTCTTGGAAGTTGAAGATGAAATTATACCCAGGTCTTCCAATGATGAAATTTTTCAGAATTATGTAGGAATCGTTGGATGGAGCATCTCTAGACGAAATTTCACTGTTGTAAATAGATTTCGAATTAACCGAATCTTCAATATCTAAATGACTGACGTTCCTTTGAACATTTCCCTCGCCTACTATATTATTCGTGGCAGATGTTTGTTCTTCATCCAATTCAGCATTGATCCGTGAATTGTTATAGAAATTTGACGATAGGTTGAGGAAATTAGGCCTCGTAATTTGAATGACATATTCCCCTAATTTTAGCGTGTTGTTTTCGGTTCCCGATTTGTCAGAGCTTCCATTTTTTCCAGACACACGTGTTCGGCTTGGTAGAAATTCTTCCTGTAAGTCGAGCAATGCCAGCGCGAGATTACCGTCAAAATTTTCTATCTGGTCACTGCTGCTGGCCAGTCGAACTGGGCCCTTTTTGCCATTCATTTCATTTGCATACTTGATCTGTCTCCCGTCTGTCGTCGTCAATTCAACTAACCTTTCGTCTTGCTTTGAAAGGGCCGCATTGTCCTTTATATCAAAATTTGAATCAAAACCCGTTTCGAAATATAGTTTATCTGGCCCCAAATTCTGAACTAGAGCTTCTATTTCGTCGATTCCTTGACGAGTTTTATTCCCCGACGCAGTAACAGCTTGGCCTAGCACGTCAAAAATTGTGATGAGCGAAGAATCAGAGCTGCTGTGATTATAACTTTGGCCGAATGTTTGTTGGCCAGCCTTGACCTGGACGGAAGGGGCATCGGTGACTTCGCCAGCGACTGAAACTAAATCTTCTACTATCCTATCTACGCCGTCCTGGTCTCCGCCAAAGTCGCTTTCGATATTGAACCGATTTTGAGTTTCCTGGTTAGACATAAGTTTTACCTTGTCCAGTTTGACGTGATTAGCCTCATTTTCCGCGGCTGCTCTGTTTTCTTTGTGTCCTTGTATGAAAGTGCTCATGCGCTTGGACGAATTTTGATCATTTGAGCTGTTATTCACATCATGTTCTATTACCGTTGAAGTTTCGGGTTCAGGTACTCTGCTTACCTCAGTATGGTCTTCTGAATGCCGCTCGGCCGTTGAAACTTCTTGAACTCTTGATTCAGATATGGAAGATGAAGTGAAACTTTCAGACTGTACAAGAGATGTAATTTTATCATAATCAGGCGATTCCGTAGTATTTAAGTTATAAACTTCTTCATCAGCAGGTGTCGTGTAATCAACAGGCGTATTCGACGTAGGCGGGTTTGCTGTTGCATCGAGTTGCAGATTGAAACCAGTTCCTGTATGCTTTTCAAGAACTTTTACATCATTACTGATCTCCACGGGTGACCGTTGTTCAATTGGATCTTCGAAATCCTCGTCGTTGTTAGATTCGAAAGTTGGGACTAGCGTTTCAAGAATGGAAATTTCTTCATCCTCGTTCAGCTCATCGTTAAGGAGTTTCAGGACATCCGCGAGATCGTCATCGTCGTCATAAACAATTCCAGCTCGAGAAGTGGACACGTATGGCGAAACTTCTTCACCTTCCGTTAATAATATACCATCATCCCCTTTTTTTTCTTTCCCTGGGAACTGACGGGCATTTTCTGCTGACGCATGTTTCGCAGAAAAATGAAAGTGGCCTTCATCAGGCAAACCGTCGTTTGACTGAATACTTATGACGTCCTTTTCTTCTGTTGGAGTTTCTTTAAAATTAAGGTGAGAGCTAATATTTTGCTGATCGGTTCTTATTAAATCATCACTAGTTTCTAAAGGTTTAAGTTCTGCGACTCGTTGTTCTTCCAAGATTACCCTACTTTCACTGGCGTACATCTGATCGGCCTGGCTACTGGTACTGTCGTAAAAGTAATCCTCGGGTTCCAGTTGAATCCTATACCTGTGGTTAAAACGTTCACCGGACCTCACGGCCGTGCGCAGCCCTACGCTGTCAGTTGCCTGGATGTTGAATATGTTATGGTCCCGGCGTTCCCCGGCATCGTGCGTTTCGATTCTCACGGCGACGCGATCGGCCCTGCACTGTGTCCCCGTTATGGTCATGGCCTTAATCCAAGTCCTGTGAGTACATTAATATAGTTAAATCTCCACAATTTCACCTGAATGTATGTTCAGTTATTTATTCAAAAATGGGATTTGGATCCCTAAATAGTTAATTTTTGACCACCAGTGCAAATTTCAAGTTTCGTCCGAAGCCTTGTAGTGTGTGGATACGTAGAAAATATGCGATAGTAAACAATATAAAATGTAACCATAATTTATGCACGGCAAATGCTCTAATAGTCGTTTACTTCGCGAATTTACTAAACTGTGGTTGATGCGAGATCGACAGTTTCACAAATTCTCAATGGTTTTAAAAGTTGGGAGTCCGTACCTGTATGAGTAGATCTTCGTGTAGATGCCCGGGTAACGTTCATCAGCGCAGCCCACGCCCCACGACACGATGCCTATTGCCTCTATGGCCCCGTCTTTGTTGACCATCAGCGGACCACCGCTGTCTCCCTAGCACGAAATTCGAGGATAAAATCGAATCAATTTTCAGCTAATGTTTATAAACCCTCAAAATTCAAGTAAACGTCCAAAAAAAATGATAAGCATTCGCCTTAGATTTACCGATTTATTTACACTGTTCTGGTAATTTTATTCATGTTTCGGTATGTTTTAAATAGGCAAAATGTATAATTGTGTATTGAGTTAGACCTACTTCATTAGTCACTCACTTGGCACGCGTCTTTGCCTGGAGATCTGGCACAAATAATTCTGTTGGTGATGCTGTTGGAGGAATAGTCGGAGTTCTTACGACACTCTTGAGATGTCATTAGATCCACGTTTGCTTTCTGTAGAGTTTTGGGGAAATTTCCTAAATCTTCTGTTCGTCCCCAGCCTGCTACAACTCCTGTGTACGAAAATAGACGCTAATTTTAGCGCGGTTGCATTCAGTGAAATAATAATATTGCAGGACCGAGGTCGGTTTCTCACGATAAGTGAACGCAAAAACGTTCTTGTGAAGTTTTAGTGATTCCGCATTAGAGCGGTTGTGTACGATCGATTTATCACACTGAAAATGAAATATTCTCGATTAAATTTTCTGCTTTAGAGGTGAACGCATGCACGTACCGCTTGCGAATACGTCGGCTGGCTCGGGATCGGTGGGCAGGCACACGGGCAACAATTTGGCTGAGAACTGGACTGGTGACTGCAGAGCGATGATCGCGATGTCGTATTCGGTGTCAAATTCAGAATATCTATAATTGAATATAACCCTCATCATTGCAATTCTCAAACAATATGGTTTAGTTCGATTATTATTGTCCAGATATGAAATGCCTAGCGTTGGTAAGACAATCTCGTTCACGAAGTACATGATATAGCAGATAATTACTAGCTCATGATGGTTGTTTCTCGAGTCAATCAGTCCACTCGCTGAATTTTTTGTGATTACCTTGAAGTTAAGGATAGTTCATATGATCAGCTCAATAGATTCCATGATGAAATAATTTCTTAAAATAAAAATTCCTAGCGAAGAGAATCACTTAGGAGGAGATAACTTACTTAGTATGCACCCTGATGGCTTTAATCTCCATACGAATTGGAACATCAGTTCCGTCGTCCCGATCTCCGATGCCCCCGCGTACATACATAGTCGATGGGTCCAGAGCGTAACTAATCGGAAAGGCATTAATTAATACCATGTAATGAGTGAAGACAAAAAAGGTCTCAAAATAACTCATGTGGTGGTCCTAATAATTTTCTAAACCATAAGTGCAAATTGAGATTAGCACGGAAACACGTACGCTATCAAAAATACCGTAGTCGAAATTTTACTCACGGTGATACAATAGAAAGAAACGCTACAATACTTAAAATGTGCTCCTATATCTCCTTATTATAGGATCGTTGCAATAAAAAAAAACAACCCGTGCTGAACGGTTAGAATGATCCAAGTGTCAATGTTAGCATTGTGTTCGACTCTTCCTAACCATGTAACCTAGAAATTTAAAAGCGAAGAAAACGCCACAAAAATTCAGCATATCTCTATTGAAAACGTTTCGGAGACCAGCTCCATCGTCAGTTCGATAAATCTAGAACACAAATAAAGTATGAAAATTAAGAAAGTTTGAAGTAAAAAAAAAACACAAGTTAAAAACCATGTAACCTTACTTATACACGCAATGCGCTGCCGTGATGACATGTCGGTCAGTGATGAGCGAGCCGCCGCAGAAGACGAAGTTAGTTTTGCTCGATGCCAGCCCAACCATCCAAGGAAACTCGGAGATCTTCGTAACGTCACCTCCCACGATTTTTCGGCTGAGTTGGATTCCGCATCCTGGACGTGATTATGTCGAGTCAACGAATTGATTCTTATTGCAAGTGTATTCGTTTCAGGAATTCATTCATGCAAGCTGTCTTTCTTGCGCTAATTTTTCACATCGAGCAATTTTTGCTTTACGGGGATGGCATTATTTCTAGTGTCAATAACAATGAGCCCCCTCTGTAATTATGTCGTTCGTCGCAATCAATAATTATTTTGTGGGGAAGAAATTGCCATTATTTTTACAACACTTCTCTTTAAAATCCCTTCTTGTTTGTTTGTTTGTCTGTCTGCTACAAATCTTGTAATCGATATTTAACACACTTCTACCTGTCCAATAGATCTGAAAATTTGCATACTTCCGTAAAGTCGGGGACAATCACACAATGCATGAATCAACTGACAGAATAAATAATTTTGAGAATGCAAAAAAAAATTATTTTTCATATTAAAAATAAAAAAAATTAATTTTGTCTACTACAAATCTTATAATCGATATTTAACTCACTTCTGCCTGTCCAATCGATCTGAAATTTTGCACACTTGTGTAAAGTCGGAGACAATGCATGTATCAATTTACAGAATAAACAAATTTGAAAAATTAAATTTTTCTAATTTTAAAAATAAAATTAAAAAATTAGTTTTTTTAATATTTGATAATAAAATTAGAAATTCATTGTAAATGTGTAACATCGGAGACACTGCATTCTTTAGAAATGTTGTCTTTGAAAAGTAATTTTTAGACGCTTATTATTGTACTAATAACTTATTTCAATGTTGAAACTAAAGGTCAGTAATTATTTGGTTTCATTTTACGACTAGAACAATTTTTATTGCGTTTGTTCGCACGACATTCATACTGGATTTAAAGTGTAAAATGCATCAATAATGTATTAGACACCAGCTGACGTGGATGGTTGAGATGAATTACTCACTGCACGAATCTTTCCTGAAGATGTCTTCCGTTGCAGCATGCAGGCTACCGCCTATGTTGATGAGCAGCTGCGAGTAATCTGCAAAACAATTTTTCATCAAAGGAAGGCCAAAAAGCATCTTCGCAATTATGTTTATTGTTATTCTCATTTGCTTCTTTCAATTATGAGAGTGCTAATTCCTTTACATTTAAACGTGATACTGGTAGTTTGGACCACGATTGATTACCCAGTCACAACGAAAAACGACTGGTTAGTCAACGAATCAGTTTTTTGGAGGGCAGCTAGCATCCGGTTTTCAGCGGTGAAATTTCAAGTGAAAACAAAGCTTCTCGAATAGCAACCGCAAAAAAAGTAATGCTTGCGATTATTTTTTATTGAATATAAAGTGCTTTGAGGATGGGGTACTACTAAACCAACTAAACCTTGATTAGAGTACTCAGAGAAGAAAGCTTTTTTTCGTCCCTAGTAGGTATAATGAAGGTATGAACTACGAAGGTCAATTGAAAAGAGAATTTAATGCAGGTCTCATTGAAGACCAGAGAATATTTCTTATTGAAAATTTTTGCTTATTATTATTGTTTTTTTTCTACAAGTTGTAGAGAAGAATGCCTCGCTCGGTGTGATGAATCGCTCCTGACAAAGCATTCAATATATCTTTATTTCAGAATTGAGAAAAACAATAAGAAAATTGTCAATAATAAAGACTGTCTGGGTCTTCAATGAAACTTGGATAAAAGAACATTTTCCACCGAACTACACCAATAAAAAGAGGATTGTGAATGGCTGATGACCTACTTGGCTATCAGCTGAAGTGTAGAATTGGAACGTACTTGTATTTCAGAATAACTTGAAAAATATGCTTCTCTGCATGCATATTGAAGAGCATTCAAGCTAGGTTATCACTTTAATGCCAAGAAGAGAGCAAATAAATTTGCTTTTTGAAGTAAGATTTTTCGGGCATGAATCATATTGATATTTGCGCGTATTGGGAGTAATTACCGCGTGGATTAGTTGTAGTACAGGGTATCTGAAGTTCTTCTGACATCAACTTATGACGAGTAACGTTGTTGACGCGCGCGATGCCTTCAGGACGTGGAAGTTAGGTACGGTATGTGACTGATAACGGCACGCACACTGAATGAGAGAAAGCGCGCGGGCCCGCAGCAGCGCCGAACTCGGATGAGCTATCGCCTTGCAAACCTGGTATCTGCTAGTCAGCTAGTGGTTGCGGTAGCGACAGGAGAAAGCTTAATTTATTGCTGTGTCGTCGAAAAGTTCTAAACGATGACTTGTTCATTTTGAGTTCTGCACGCACAATACCGGTACGCCCGAATATTGTTTCAAAATATGTCAAATGATAGTCCATTACACCATTAGTATAAACGGATCAAGTTTGCGTGAGCCTGCGTTTGTGAGTCTCCCTTCCTGAACAGAAGGCCCATGAGAAGGCCTATCCTGAGAAGGTTTGACCCTTTCCGGCCGTAACCTTATCTTCACATCTTATAAAAAGTGATAGAAATGTGAAATAATTGCTCAAATACTTACAATTATTATCAAGATAGGAATATCCTCTGCATTATCGGCAGGTAGTATTTTACAAATATTTACAGAGATGTTTAGACAGGAAAGCTCAGCGATTGTGCGAGCAGTTGTGTTAGTGTCACCGTTACCTGCGCTGCTCTCTCCGGGCGTCACTTGCTCCATATCCCCTGCCAGAGCCGGCGCCTGAGCAGCTGTGTGAGCCGCGTTGCCTTGCAGCATCGTTGATGATGTACCCAGTGCATCATTAGGTGGCACCACACCCACGTGTGATGCATCTTTTGTGCCATGAAACGCATTAACTTTCGAGTTTTGGACATCGTTTAACGTGAGTGCTAGTATTGGAGTTAACTTCTCAAGGGTCGGTCCAGAATTAGCGGCACTCGATTTTATTAATGCGAACGAGGCCAGATTTCCTAGGTTTGAATTCTTCACAAGCGAGGTGAATAAGTTGGGCCTGCTGGCTGTCATTGAACTGTCCCCGCCCAAATTGGATGTTGTGTCAGAGTCCGTATTTTGTGACTGAAATCTGTCACTCTGTTGTCCGAACGTAGCATCTGCAGCGTCGCTGCTTAAAGTTTTTACGATGTTTTGAATGTTGTTTTTCAGTCTCAGCTGTTCGAGAGCCTTGACTGCTTCCTGGTGAGTGCTGGACATGGGACGCCTTGGTCGCTTCGAGAGCTCGGCTGCGACGTTCGGACTTGCATCATCCCCTGACACAAATGTTGTTGAGTCAGGCTCCACGAAAACGCGTTCAAATGCACTCAACTTGCGATTAATGAAGGCATCACTAGTAGGACGCGAGTCTGTACCAATGTCAGAGCTCCGAAAATCAGATGACGGTATAGATTTTATACGTGTATCATCTGTGGATATCGAAGGTTCCATTTGCCTCAACCCGGTGCCTGACATCGTGTTCCCAGGCATAGATAACAAGTCACTTACGATATCGCTGTCAGTTGAGTAATCAGCAAACCTTTTCTGGATCGAGTCAACAGTCGAATTATTATCCTCGCGAAGGAGTTGTTCATTCTCTGGTAAAGAGGAACTCTGAAGGTCATGTTTTCGTGTAAGACTATCAGAATCTTTCGGTTTCAGCGTGTCGGTGAAAGCACCTACTTCAGCGCCAACATCGGATGTCATATTGTCATGATCTTTTCTGGTCTGATCAAATTTTTCAAAGACAGGTTCTGGGTTCACGTGCATTTCTATTAAACCTTCTGCAACTGCTGGATTCAAATGACCTGTGATGAGATGCTTCACAGACACTCCCGAGTACTCATTATTAACATGTACTGTTCCCGTACTGCCATGAATGACTGGCTTCACTGTCAGTGGGTTCAAGTCGGGAGGTGATTCTGTCGTGGGCATATTTAGTTTGTTGTAAGAATTCATTTCACTAGCTTGAGAGTCTCTCATGCTTGCTGCATCAATTCTATTCGTGTCAAAATCCCGGTTAATAATATCAAGGTGCACCAGACCATCCTCGGTCATTTGGAAACCATTAGACATAACCGGAGGAGTGTCCCACTGTTCGAATGGATGCGTGTATCTCTCGTGGCTGACACCCGTGTCCGGATTCGACATGTCTGGCAGCCCAGTTCTAAATTTATAATTGTTCACTCCAATATCCAGGGGTTCCGGTGGTGGAAGCTTCACAGGCCTCGAGGCTGGCTGGATTGTATGAACCATACTAGAAACTCCTGGTTCCTCGAGCCGCTGATCTAGGCCGCGCATGACATGCTTGAGCAGTGGGCTAGGCATAGCGGGCAACTCTGACGCGTCTATCATGATCGTTGTGCCGCCAAGAGTGTACGGAACTAAATAAGCGCTGATTAGTTGCGCCAGGCATGAGAATATCGTGTATTTTAGACATGTCTCGCACGCTGCCATATCTGATTGTTTCTGTCCGAGGGCTCAAAAATGAGCTCGTAGTTTCAAGAATTTTTCGTATTTTTCCACGCTGCCCTGCGAATGAAAGTAAAACCTAATCCGAAACTTTATCGTATAAAATCTTATCTGAAATTATATAAGTAAATCAGTATTAGTATTAAAGACTCTAGCTACGTTAATAATTAATAATTATTGCATAAAAACCAGACGTCCTCTTCTGGCACTCCATTAAATGCATCATTAATTGATTTATTCACCTTGGTCTCCTCTATCAGTATATCGTTCTTACCCTTTGTGTCATTCATTAAGTCTGAATCCAAACATTGGTTCCTAGATGACCACGGTGCAGACTGCAGAGCAGTATCTTTTACTCAGTATCTTTTTCTCAGTATCTTTTTCTCTTCTCTCACAGTGTATCTTTTTCAGTATTTTTCAGATGGTAAACAAGCATTCGGCTGCAGCGACAAGTTTTTATCCCCCTTTCTTTCACTCCCGTGGTTCGAACCAACTTGAGAGATTATATCCATCACTATGAACATAAAATATGCATATACATGTATATATAGCGTTTCGTGCATGAATATGATGCGTCCTGCTTTCAACAACGAAAAAAAAAACGGTTTTAGTCAGAATTGACCACTTAATGCAATTGTATTGTACGTAGTCCAAGCTACAAACGTTAAATGTGAATTCTCGTTTTTATATACTTTCCCTCTAAGACGATTAAATATTTAGATTTTTTGTAAATTTTCCCAAGTACGCCTTTACAATTTTCGGACAGCAAAATTCTTTTGATTCGTACGTGAAGTAGAATGAACATTTTCGTTTCAATGAAGGTTCATTTTTGTATTGAAGGCGTCAAGCAAGAAACGTGTTTATTGAAACCAATCCGAGAGAAAGTGAAGATCCGGGAAAACGGATTGAGATGCCCAGTGATCAATCACGTCAATGAACAATAAACAATAATGAAATTAAGTATCGCAGTTTAGTCGCGTGGAGTTATTATACTAAAAAAGTTTGAAGACAAAAATAAAGTTAATTGGGACTGCATTTTCCTTGACTCACTTCATTACACTAGATGATAAACTCTCATAAAGTTACATAAGTTTCCTTCAGTTAGTCGTCATTTTTTCTTCATTTCTAGGGTTATTATTTCGTCGTTCTCATTTATCCCAAACTACTAAAAAATATATTTAAACATACCGAAACGTTCACTGAGAGAAATGGGCGGGTCTGGATGACCCACTTTGACGAGTCAACCGCGTCCGAAAATCGATGCACTTTTTTGACTCACTTGCCCCATTTGTGGGTCATACTGACCCATTAAATTTCAAGCATGACTCACTTGGGGCGTTAAATCGCTCTGACGCTCAGATGCTAACTACGTATCCATGCTACGGGTGGCGTCATAAGGGATTTGACGTCACAAGTGAGTCATGCCTGGAATTTAATGGGTCAGTATGACCCACAAATGGGGCAAGTGAGTCAAAAAAGTGCATCGATTTTCAGACGCGGTTGACTTATCAAAGTGGGTCATCCAGACCCGCCCATTTCTCTCAGTGTTATTTATTCTGTTCAATTACTGCGGCAAACACACTGCCAAAAGCACAAACTAAAAGTCATTTTCAGGCTTCAAATATTTGTTATATAGTTAAAGATGAAAATGTATTCTAGATTACACAAGTTCATAATTCACCTCATCACGATCATAGCTCAAAATTTAAACTTTATCTGAAATTGTGATAATCTTGTATCACACTTGAACATTTAAAAGGTTCATTCGTAAAACAATAAAGAGAAAATCACCACCACTGGCTATGCTGTTGCTCCGATGCATTCATCCGTGTGATGTCTCGCTCGGGCCACAACACAATATTTCAACCTGCCGACTCAGAGTTTGATCTCCAACTGAGTCAGACGTACATAGATAGCTTGGCGGTAGCGCTAGCGGGTCCGGTTGCGGAGCGAAGAGGATGGTGCGGCTGTGACCTCTGGTGAAATCGGAGCCCTTAATTCACACTCTAGCCGATATTAAGTAGTGATGAAGTAATCCGGTGTGACTTGTGTTTTCTGCATGGTTATATTTACCCTGCTCTCATCGTTTGCGTTCGCTGTAAATCATATCATCGTTCACAATCGCAATGATGTGAATTAAAGTGGCCTCTTGACGGTAATTTTTTTTCACGATTATTTCCTAAAAATTCGAGTCGTACACTTGACGAAATAATTCCAATATTCGCTGCATGGTTTTTAGCACTTTATGCGGAATGACAAGTGCTTCTTGCAGACAAAAAAATATTGGAAACCAATATTGGAAACCAATGTTATATGTATTTCACTTTAAATCTTAAAGATGTTGCCGTTATTTTAAGTTCTTAAAAATCAAATTGAAGGAAAACTGAATTATCTATATTAAAATCGTTTCCTAACCGCTATAGGATTTAACAAAACGCTTTTGAACGAAATCGTAAAGAAATTTTAAGTTATTGGACTTCAAGCGGAAAACCTGGATTAAATCTAATGCCGGAAGAATTCGCTAACGCGCCCAGAGTTTGTGTTATTCGTCGCAATAAAGAACTAAAAGTCCATTAGGCTTTCAATGCTGCCGGAAAGACCGTATACCACAAAATGATTTTTGATTTGTTTACCTGGTGTGTAACGATCTCGTCCTCGTAGACTATAAGGGTACGCACGCAGTGAAAACAGGTTGCCAGCGTGCTGGTTATCTGCTCAGGCTGGCGCCTGAAACCATAGAATACAGAAGCCTATTCGTACAGGTTTTCACTGTGAACACTTACATTATTATCATATGTTCATTCTTGTGGCAGGTTGGAGGAGGTTGCCCGCGCAGGGAACCTGCTTTCACTGTGTGCGTACCCTAATAGTAGATGATTTGACATTGACATTCTGCCGACTAGAAGAGCGTTGCTGATGGCTTGAATCAAGATTTCGCGTCTTCTGGAATGTCAGAGTCAGAGAAATGCGAGAGAAATCGGGAGGACTCGGTAAAAGATGGAGGAAAAAAGCGAGAGTAAGCGAGAGGCAAGGCTTGGTGCAAGATGCCCGGGTGCTATATGACTTGGTATGATCGGGAACCCGAAGGCAAGTCTCCCGTTCCTCTGTGTCTCCAGCGTCTGCAGCCGTTTCTTCTCAGATGAATCGAACATTTCCTTCAGAATCACGCATGCACTTTGGTGTAGCTGCTTAACTCCGGCATGTGTGAGGCGGGATGCCGGCAAGTAGAGGAACTCGGCAAGTCGAATGAAGTGTAACACGGGACAGTCGAGTAATCTGCACAGGGAGAGTGCGATGTTTGAGGAGCTGGTAGTCCTGATGATAAGTGACATATAATTCGTTCGATGATCCGTCATGAGGAAACTTATCAATTTATAAATACATCTATGAACAACTGGAGAGAGGAGTCATACGTTATTTTTTAACCTGGTCATTCCCCGAAATATACAGCATCGCAACTCGAAACCTTAAATTCTACAAGGTCCCATGTTCAAGTGAGCACTGATTTAAGAGACCCCTCTTATATTTATGTCCCTATCACAACAAAAGCCTTGTAAACATAGGGATAAAAGGCCCATAAAACTATTCAAACACCAGTAATAACTTTAAAATAAACTTGTAGCGAGTCACGCACACCTCATAACCAATGATTACTTGTTCATATGAGAAGAGGCAGACATGACAGTCGAGGAAAATCGAGCTTTGCACGCATTAATTTGGTTTCATGCTAAGCTACTTAACTCATTTAGCTTAGCAAGTTTCTGACGTTCCAGCACGCGATCTCGATAAGACCTAATTAAGGTTCTTCATTCCAAGAAATGTCGTACTCCAAGTAATACTTGGTACAGCGGATGGCGACCTTCTTATATAGCGGTTATAAAAATAATAATAATAATAATAATAATAGCGGTTTCAGCATTTATTTAGCCTTAGGCCTGTCGCCGATTCCTAACAGCGCAGAACATTCACAGTTTGTTGCGTGTTGCGGTCTCGAACTCACAACTCACTGCTACAATAATCTGCTGTGCTTAACCGCCCGACCTTCTTGCCGATTCTGACCAGAAACTGACGCGCAGAGCTGGGATCGAACCCGCGCCTCTCTGCTCCAATCCTGATACTCTGAACTTTGACCACTGTTTATATATTGCTTATTTCGAAAGCAGTTAGATTAAGACCATATTAACTTTATAATAGAGATTAAACGAAAACCTACGAGACCACAATATTACGGACGACGTGCCACATAACTTTCAATACGCAGGAAAGTTTAACGATTCCAAGCAGAACCTGCATTGAACCAAACTTGGTGCATACCCAGAGTTAAGAAGTGAGTTAAGGTTTAACGAGAATTGAGTAAACCTGCGAAAAAAACTGCGCTGCATCTTATCCATGCGACAACATTTATTCTCGCTTCGAATCGCCGACATGTGGATCAGCCTCTCCGATCACATCGCTGGCGCTCCGAGTATGAACGCGTTCAAGAACAGACTAGATAAAGTTATGGAAAAATATATGTTCAGACTTGAAATGCCTAGCACCATATCGAACCCGGTGGAAGTCAAGTAGCCATTTCAAACTATCGTCAGTCCTGAAAATATCCGGTCAAAGAACACGATTTTAGATTTCTGTTAACAAGTCACGAAAACTACAAAAATCTGCGACAGGCCACATCAGGCCTACTCTTAAGCGCCGACATCACTATGTTGTGTTATGTGGAACGCATACTAACCTAGTTTCCAAAAACGATCCTCATTCCTCACCGCCACCAGCCACGGCACCTCACTGTTCTCCAGCTCCAAGCAGGCCTGTGCCAGTGGCCTGTGCCTGGTATCCGCAAGCTTGAAATTTCTGCTCACGGCGTCACCTGCAAAACAAGCTCACTATAGCTCACTGAAACTCGAGTGTATCGCACGGCGGTGGTTCTCCCTTGAAAGTCAAGTGATTATCAACGCCCACTTGTCAACAACGCAACTCACGCTCAATACTCAGCCACTATCGTCCGTGATACTGCTACTCACTTCCATTTCACCGCTAATAATTTTAATAACACTGTTAAATATAAGGTTCCTTTAAAAATATTGTCCGCCTAGTGCGTGTGTATTGTGCGCACCAGAACCATAGTCCATTTTAATTTACGGATAAGGATTCAGTTCGATGCTGGCTCTCGATTTACCTGGTCGAGGGAAATATTTGGTACGTGTTTTACTGACGGCTCGTGTTCTTGTATTTACGTGATTTTACGTCTTGTCCCTTGATGTGCTTATAGTCGAAATAAAATATTTTACTCAGCTTAATTATCATATGTGCAATACTAGTTTATTCTAATTTTATCCGTTTTGTTTCAGAAACCGATTTTAATATGAAAGTAATACCTAAGAAGTCGCGTTTTCAAAATCTTCGTACCTAACTTAGTATTTAGTAACTAGGAAAGATTTAACAGTTTAAAATAAGTAAACGACTCACGACTGGATAACAAAGTCAACTGAACTAGCCATGCATCGTACCCCAATTTGAGCATTTTTCATTAATAATTTAGGTATTACAATTTACAATGAAACATTTCCTAAATAAGTTTGGGCTCATTTTAAAGGTCTTTGTGAGGCAGTGAGGGCTATTGTATGGCATCTCCAAAAAATTTCATATGCTATTTGTAAAGTGCCCGATGCAAAAGCATGGGGTACCGTAAACGCGGTATATTCCGACATCGTAGGTAATTCCGTCACCTCTCCAGCTTTTCCTTTATATTAAGCTTTGTTTTAGTTCCATGCGTTCATTGATTAAAAATGAACTTGAGGGAGAGTCTAAAAAACTCTCTGCTTTGCCACTATGATTAGTGACGGAATATAGGGATTTGGTAGGTTTCCATTCTAAAGGCTTTTTAATAAATATGGCAACATTTTGTGACGTTTCATTGTTGCTGACGCGTAGTGAATTGTTTTGAGAGTCATGTGAAGGCAACAGAACTTATGTAACGCATACGGTTTTTTTTATAGTTCTTCATTTCTCGATGCGTCCTTAATGTGTCGGAATATACCGCGTTTACCCTGGTTAAGCACCTATGCCTCTTGAGAAGTTGAGTGTGATAATTTGTCTTGAAGACTGCTGGTGATGTGACAACTGACAATGCATATTGGGTACCACACTCAGGATGATGTATGTTTTCGGTGAATTTTCCTGCACATTTTCACTTTTTTTAAGCTATTGCTGTGCACAGTTGTTGCAATGTAGTGAAAATTGATTCTCTTCGCGCACGTGTTCGCGCAATCCCGGCCATCAATTCTATGTCGCGCTGCCAAGCATGAGCAGTTTGTGGAGGAACAGACATAATACTCACATTACTCAGTACAGTATGCCTTTAATTATCTTTCAATAATATATGATTTTTATTGATACGGAAATTTGGTGAATGAGAAATCTAGAACTTTATTTTAGAAGAAATTTTCTCCAAAGTCATATGGCAACACAGACAACACTGAACACTGTCTGTTTACATTTCGTATGTATAATAGCCGCAGTTTACAATTACCGTACGTTCCGTATCCGACAGCAACAAGGCGGACAAGCGGAAGAGTCAGAAGTAACCAGGACATGTCTTACATTTTATTATTGTCAGTTCAACTCGCGTAGTCAATATACTCGCGTATATTGTCGACTAAAATAGTAGAACTATTTTAGCTTTCTAAAGTACGGCGCATGGCGCATTTTTTACCAGCATAGTACGGTGCTCGCGCAGGTCGGTAAAATGACAAAATAAATTCCTGCACACCTGGCAAATCTTCCTGACCATGGATTGGGTACAGTGAGTTAGTGAGGTTTTTGGTCCACAAATGGAAAAATTGGCAAACCATCCACCAAACTCTGCACCGTGTCATGTTAGTGACTACTGACAACCATCAAACAGGGGTAATAGGGTAAACGCGGTATATTCCGACATCGTGGGTAATTCTGTCACCTCTCTAGTTTTTCCTTTATATTAAGCTTTGTTTTAGTTTCATGCGTTTGTTGATGGTTGAAATGGTGACGTCATACATAAGATGATACATTTACGCGTCGAACTAATGCCAAAACACTAGGTCTTGGCCATCTAGCAGGAAAATATTGAGATCCAAAGAGAGACAATGCACGCTACCCACTACCCAGTGAGATCATCGAAAAATGTGTCAAATTTGACAGTTGACCTTGCTCTACCAAATAGTGAATAACTGTTTGTATAGGAAGAAAATTATGGGTTGAGACTTTTAAATATGTCTGTGAATATATTAGGAATCCTTTAAGTATACTTGTATTTGCTGATTTCAAGTGGTAAATAAATTAATAGATGATTAAGTTGAGAAATGGATTTAGACACATGAAAACTAATTCCGTCACAACTTGAATTGGACACTCACAGATCGTTCCAAGCTATGTACAAAAATTAAAATTTGCTTAATTAAAAGCTTAATAGTTGTTAATTAAAAGCGTTATTAAGTAGTGTTCAATATTCATTAGTGTTCTAATTCAAAGCCGTGTTGTATTCCAATACAGCTCGCACAGCGAACGGAATTCGAACACGTGGATGACGGCATTACGTATCAGTAGAATTTGAAGCGTGGACGGAATACGCCTCACCACATGCCAAATATTGCCACACACAGTGTCAGAATATAGGGATTTGGTAGGTTTGCATTCTAAAGGCTTTTAAATAAATAGGGCAACATTTTGTGACGTTTCATCATTGCTGGCGCATAGTACGGTGTTTTGCGAGTTACATAAAGCAAACAGAACTTGAGTAAAGCATACAGTTATTTTTTTATAGTTTTTCATTTCTCTATGCGTCCTTAATGTGTTGGAATATACCGCGTTTACCCTAAAGGATGGTTTTGAGCATTTTTGTTAATAGCTTCTTACCATGAAACATTTCATGAACAAGTTTGGGTTTAATTTGAAAGTTTTTGAGATCTATTGTATGGCTGCAATGGCATCTCCAAAAGAAATCTATATGCTATTTGTAAGGATGGTAAGGTGCCAGACAAAAAATAAAAGTGTGCATCTTGACGCATCTAACGGCATCTTAATATAAAAAACCTAATTTTTAAAATGTTTGAAGCATGCCAGGGTGCAGACCACGGTCAGGAAGATGTGCCAGGTGCGCGGGAATTTTTATTATCATTGCATCAATTTGCGCCATGCACCGTAATGTACCGGAATAAAGTATGGAAAGTGAGATTTTGTCAAAGTACCTCTGCTAAAGTCTGAAGCAAATAGAAAATATATTTGCCATATTAAAAAAGCTAACTTACATAAAAGTTACACACAGGTGTTGCTTAAAAATGTGATTGATCAAATTTGCTTATTTCATTAAAAAGAATGGCGGCCTTTTCCACAAGATGGGGTAATAAGGGACACTCCCCTGGGGTAACAAGGGACACCCCTAAAAACGCATTTACAGTAGAACCTCAATAAGCAAAGGCTACAGTTAACAGAAAAAATCAAGTAACAACAAAAAAATTTGATTACATTTACCTTGCTCAGTGAAAAAAATTTTACGTCATAAAAATTAATGTATCATCGGCATCACAAAATTGCGCATAGAATTTCATAGACAGAATTGCGCACCAGGCAACATAGAATATGAAGTAATTAACCTAAAAAATGATTTATTTCTCCAAAAATTATGATGGTTGTCACTAAAATTTTCCTTTCTGTTTCAGGTGTTTTTTTACGATATATTTTTGTTATAGCAAATTCATTTGTCCCAATTAAAATGGTATGAAATTACAAGTTGTCCTGTAATATAACAGGTACAGAATAAATGCTATACGGCTTCTGAAATGAAGCCTGCAGTGGACAATAGAAACAGTAATATCACATCAATAATACAGAAATGTAAGGATATGGTAATATAAATCAATAAGGGAAAAACAAGTTTGTAAAAATCATAGAAAATGTCATTTATTCTGCATCTACAAAGGAAGAGGAGGACTTCAGAGTACTGTTAGTAATGGATTAATGCACTATGCATGCTTCAAATGTTTTAAAATTAAGTTTTATTTCAAGTGTCCTGGATTACACCACTCCCAGGAGTAATTTGGGACACTTTTCTTTTGCATCTTGCACCTTCGGAATAGTATATGGAATTTTTTGGAGATGCCATATGATTGCCCTCAAGAAGACCGTTAAAATGAGCCCAAACTTGTTTATGAAATGTTTCATGGTAAGAAGTTGTTAACAAAAAAGAAACACTCAAAACCATCCCTTATTACCCAGTTTGATGGTATAGCATTCAGGAATACCTTCATAACATTTTTATGAACTGTTTTGATCTTAAATTATATGTACATGAAGTTTCAAATGTTAAGATATCCTATTCAATAATATGTACAAAATAGAATACACACGATGAGTACAACTTGGTGGGTTAGTCATCAATATGTTCCACTAATGCTCAATTTTTCAAGTCTTCCATAGTGTATAGTTTTTTGACCACGGTTCATTATTGTCTTACCTTATCATCTCTTCTTGAACTTGAACAATTATGAACATTATTTTTGATATGCTTAATTAATTAGGCTCTGAGATGGCAATCTCTATATGGTAATTTTCTTCCAAAAAACTAAAATGTTTTACTTTCCAGTCTAATGAAGCTATTTCACACTGATGGAAAGTTTTTCTTTTATTTTGGATTTTAATAAACATTACTGAATTATGATATTCAAATCACTGTTCTGATTTGGTAAGGATCATTCAAAAATCATAATTGTTAAGAAAAATTGGCTATGAAATTGATTCAATTTGTGCAATTATTTGTTAGGTACATGAAACAAGCATTCAATTTAACATGTAATCCAAGAAAATAAATTAAAATAGTTAAGAACTTATGCTCCTTAGTTTATAATGACTTAGGCTGAAATGATTGCTTCTGTACATCCGTAACAGAATTATCATTGGAATTTTTTCAAGTCTGGAGCGGAAACATTTCACCACAAATTTAATACATAAGTCAATCATTTGAGGTATTGATATTTGACTATCATCAATTGTCCTATTATTACTGTGTTCAGCCATATCTTTGAGGTAAAATTTAGGCAATACACGCCAATTAATTGCATATCTTTGCATACAGTCACTGTGCACAAAAACCCACAGCCACAAACATTTGTGATTAGATTTGTTTCAAACAAAGATTGTTCTTTTTCAGCTAGTCTCCCATCAAAGTAACAGTCTTTGATATTTTGCAATAACTTAGTATTCAACCACTATGATCAAGAGGACTGAAGTTGTTTCAAGTGAAATTAAAGCTAAAGGTGTTGAATCTAAAGTTGTTTTATTTCTCTTTACAGGTAGATCAGGATGTTAGCAGCATTGAAAGCTGAAATAGCTGCTAAAAAGCAACAGCTGCGGGACTCAGGTGTTTTGGAAGAAGGTCAAAACTATTTTAAGCGAGCCAAGCTTAACAATGATGATGTCCAACAGCAGAGCAAAGACCAAGACTCTGGAGAAGGTTCCAGTCGGGGCCTCTCATGCTCCATCAGCACATCCAGCAATGGAGAATCGCCAACAAAAGATGCCTTGGGATCTGATGCAGGGCCAGAGTTAGCAAGGGCCGAGGTGGTGCGGCGACTGAGAGAGCGTGAAGAACCTATCAGACTTTTTGGAGAGACTGACAATCTTGCTTTCCGTAGACTGAGGAAATTGGAAATTATTGAGCCTGAAATTAACAGAGGACTTCGGAATGATTTCCAAGAGGCTATGAACAATGTAGACAAAGCTTATTTACAAGAACTTTTAAAATATCAAGAAAAAGATGGTAAAAATAAAGATGTGCATCTTGGTCAAGCTGAGCTCACCATGGAAGATTTGGTTGAACTTGCCAAAAGTTTGTCAAAAGATAAGAACAGCATAGAGGTGAGTTGCAAGCTTGTCATGCAATTTGTTGAATTAATCCTCCAAATTTGGGGCAAAAAATTGAACAGTAGGCCTGATTCTGAAAAGATGAGTGTTCTGGGGAAGAAAGAAGCTGCTACCTACAACCAAACTCGCAGTTACCTGAAACCTCTCACAAAAAGGCTAAAAAAACGCACTTTACCTGAAGACATCTTAGAGTGCCTGGTGGAAATTGTACAGCACTGCCTGGAGCGCAACTATGTGGGAGCCAACGATGCTTACCTAACTATGGCAATCGGTAACGCCCCTTGGCCCATTGGTGTTACTATGGTGGGTATTCATGCCCGTACAGGTCGTGAGAAAATTTTCAGTAAACACGTCGCACATGTACTTAACGATGAAACGCAGAGGAAGTACATCCAGGGCTTGAAGAGATTGATAACCAAATGCCAGGAGTACTACACTACAGTCCCGTCTCGGTGCGTCGAGTACAAAGCTGTACCTTTTTAAGCACGTTTATTTTCGGTGTGTACAGCGAGTAACGCTTTGTTGTAGATATATGTACATGGAATTTAACAGTTACACTAGTTTCCTAATACCAGATGTAGTTTAGGTGATAAAGTATGAGAATCACTGATTATAGAATGAACTTAATAATAGCATTAACCATTTGAATCTGATGAATTAAGAACCATACGAATCGACTTCATTGGAGAAGCCAATGGCCATAGATAGTTTAGTTAATCAATAAACATTCCTTATTTGTAATGTTTGTGAATAAATTACCTGCTGATGACCTTAAACAGGCTTTCACTTTATCTCAAGTACCTATTTATTTAGGTTCATCATTGAGTGACAAACGATATGCGAGTAATAAATTATCAATTTTAATATCTGTGTTCAGTTCTTGCCGTATGCAATACATTTCGGGGCTGCTTGAACAGACTCTTGAAGTGTTTGTAAAATATGACCTCAATGCTCGGTTATTATTTACTAAAAGACTACTAACTCCTATTCTGACCAGTATATTTGTGATAAAATTTAACAGGCGTAAAAATGACTAATTATAAAAAAATAAATTTTGTATTTGGACAAAAAAGGCTTAAGTTATAACAGTAAGAAATAGCATTTAAATTGTTCAGGGTTATGAAAACTTGTGATTCTATCTTATAACTTTCACTTATTCTTTCCTAATTGTTAAAATACTAATTTTAAAGAAATAGACAGACGGGAGTAATTTTAACAAATTCTGATGAATTTCACAAATTCTAGTTTTTTTGGCGCTAATTAACAGTTGTAACAATTCATTGATTTTTTCCTGCCTCATCGTGGGAGCAAGTACAGCCTTGTCATAAACGTGATTAATGTATTCAGAGATCCAATCGCTCTTAGCTACTTAGATGCAAGTAAATAACAATATAGCAACGCCTTTATCAACGTTACAGTAGCAGTTTACTAATACTAGTGGTTCAATAATATGAGTGAGCGTGCATTGCATATTTTTTCAAGTGAATACCCGGATTATTATGCGTACATAAAGTATCAACTAATTCAACTTTAATATTCACAAATTTCAAGGGCATGTTCATCTGAAGCCACGTAGACGAATTTTTGAATAGCCAGAACACTAGTACTATATAAAATACATAATATAGTCATATAGATAACAGTATTGATTAACTAATTAGATGTTTTGGGAACGAGATCAATAAATCAGTTTTTTTCAGTTATCATTTAGAAAATAACAATTACTTAAAGGTTTACAATTGCACGTTATTTAACATGGAATGATCCGGCTCCAAGACTTGTGTATCATTTACCTAATACCGGCGTTGAAATGGATGGTTGTGCTGCGACAGTAACAAGAAACCGCTATTGGCCTAACGATTCTTTCAGACAGTACACCTGAATGTATTTGCCACGGTTCTTATCCCTAAACAACGAATGGAAAGTTGCAGCACAAAGTTCATAACCTGAACAACGTAGAAAATCTTGCAAAGCATCAGCGACCGAGTCAAATATTACAATGTGAGTCGGATATCGCAGCAGAATGTCTCTCGCTTGAAACTGATACGAAAGCGCAAGAGTGGACTTTTTGCAACAAAAGCTGTCTTTACCCTGCGAATGAGAATTCAAATAACGAGGTTCCATGGAGATATTTCTGACTTCATCCCCACTATGAGAAATCCTAGAAGGTAAGTGAGCTGCCAGCCATGTGTCCGGGTGCTGGAAGAAGCGATCAGACTCGTCGACGTAACTGGGCGCGAGGTTGAGGTTCGGCTCGCACGTCAAGAAGCGCACCGGCACGTGTATGTGAAGATGGCTGTATTGAAAATGGAGAACGCGACATTAAAACAAGCAAACGCGAAACTAAGTAGCGCAATGATATATAATTGACTGAGCAGAAAACTAGTTCAAATTTGCTTTTTTCATACAAGCATTCATGGTGCCCAAAACTAAACAGCAAGTGGATGACACAGTGAAGATATAGCTTCTGCGTTTAATTAGTCTAGTCAAAAAGCATTATGAAATCTAAGGCTGAAAAATGCAATTTGTGGTTCAGTATTAAACTTGAAGCTCGAACTCGTTGCAAGGTTGTTTATTTTTGGCAAATAAACATAAATTGAATAAAATTGACGTCGAATAATACGGATAGCATAGCTTGTTACGTTGTTAAAGCAAACCTGTAGAGGGGCGTGGCGTGGCAGGGCGTTAAGAAAAGCACCAGCGGTGCAGTCGCGCTCCCCAGCAAAGCTCTGAGCTCGGACATGATAGTGAGAGCCCCGCGTTGGTGAGCCAACCCAAAATAGAGCACCAAGACAACACTCGGCACCAGCAGCCATAGCAGCAACCCCCACCGACTGCCCATTGAAAATGTTAGGAACATCCGAGTTTTCTAGTGCATGTACATATGTATTTAGGAATCAGCTCGCACAATTTCTACTGAGAGGAAGCGAAATTCTTGCATTCTCTATTTAGAAAATTTTGCAAATTGAAGCGTTCAATAACGAGTGTACACTCAATTTTGATATACTAAGTAATTCATTGAATTTTTTATCTTAAACGCAACCAAATGTCCAAAAAATGCTTTGAATTACTTAATTACGAAGAAATTGACTGGTATTAATCCCTTCTACGACGCTAAATCGAGGCAATGCGCGAGAAACGAAAAGTTGAAATTTTCTTAAATCAGAGTAGAGTGTTGATGATTAAAGTCTTCCATCGTTCATCACACAGATTTTCCTCAACTGAGGTTTATTACAAAAGGCCTCATTCCAGACTCACCCAAATTTGTAGTACCGAGAGCTGACGTGGGATCTCTGCATCTGGGACAACTGGTGGCCACATATGACCAGGAGAGGCGGCAACACAGGCAACAGCAGCCGAATTTCCTTGTGACCGATCATACTGCACATGAATAAATTCTATTGTAAACTTAATGTGTACATTTTTGCAGTGCGTTTTAATAACATGGTGGAATAAAGTTTATTCGTCATGCGAATTGCGGCTTAAAAAAAAAAGTTGACACGTTTTACAGTTAATAAATAGTCAAAGTATCTCGTATTTTAAATAGAGCTTGGGCTAATATAGACTGGTATTAGACAGTTCATACTTTTTTCGCTTCGCAGGCAGGGAACTGAATAGTAAGTAAATAAATTATAGTTCTAAAAAAGTTAGTGAATTGAATAATTAGACTAAAAAAAATATCATCAAGTTAAGTAAAATTATTCTCAGAGAAAAATACGCAACCTGTATACAGCAAGAGTAAAGACGGAGCTTGCGAGCAGGAGGTTGTGCTGCAAGGACCGCGTGCGGGATGAGGAGGCGACAGCGAGCAGCAGCAGGACAGTGTGAGGGCCAAGGGCTGAGGGCAGCCCTGTCGTCAGGTACCAGTGCCATGGGTGCCTTCCTGGGTACAGTTTGGTAACAACCACTCAACTTGTTGGTTCTAGAATGCTACAATGGGTCAGTTGTGGCCCTACCCTAACAACCACTCAACTCGGTGGTTCTAGAAGGCAACAATGGGTCAGTTGTGGCCCTTACCTAACAACCTCTGAGCTAACTGGTTTTAGAAGAGTTTCAGTGGTTCAGGTGAGGGCAGAAAAAAAAGTGGTAAGATCGGTTTCCCAGATGAAAAAATTGTGCAAAAGGAGCGCATATGTCTGCACTATTCATGCCTTGTAATAGACACTTCAGACGAAATAGGGTAGTTACAAATAATTCACTCAAATAAATGCATTCAGCAAAATTTTAAGAAAAAATTTCAACGCCAGAATGTCTGATTTTCCAAAACTGAATAAAGTCCAACTCAAAATGTCAAATGAAGGCTATGAGTATATTTTGAGATGGTATTCTCTACACTTACCGTAATGATCAGCTAAGGAAGTCAGCACATTGAACTTGACGAAATTCCAAGGTACGAAGGTAGCTTGGCCATAGTACAGGGAGTCCATGATGCACACAATGCCACTCACAACACCACTGCCACAAACAAGTAATAAGCCATGAGAACACAGCTGTTTACTCAAAAATTTTACGGTTAGTGAAAATCCTGCAGCTGGTGAATGATGAAAATGTAAAAAATAAAAAAAAAATAATTGTCCATAGTTGGCTACAAAAATGCATGTGTGATTTATACACAAATTCACATTGAAAACCAATGACAAAATCTTTTATAACAAGATTAAAGAATAATCTGGATTTTGAAAAAAATCAATTTCAGGGAAAGTGTGATGAATAGAAATATCAACACACAACTGAAATTTCAACCAGAAAAACACTGTGGAAACTCTTCCAACTACTTATTTAGAAATTTAAGATATCATGATAAACTTGATTCGTTAAAAAAGAATACATATAATAACACAATATCAGCCATTTATAAAATCCTTTACTGTTTTTCATGTGAATTCAATAATTAATTTGTCTATCAGTTGATAGTACCTGAACTTACGTCACAGCCACAGCCTTGAAGATGAGAGCCAGTTTTTGTTGACACCGCACAAGCTGAACAGCAAACAAAGGCACAAACATGACAGCCGTGGTGGGGCGTAGTGCACATCCCAGCCCCACCCACCACAGATATGACACCGATGACCCAACTGCTGGGTATAAATACTTCAGGATGTTAATTACAAGTTAAAAGCAATATAAATATTATTCTTGAAATGCAGTGAAATTATATTTAGTCTGGTTCACGACAATATATTTGACTGGAATGCAACTTTCATGCACAATCTTCTTACCTCAAGGAAATGAAAAAATAAAAAATGCAACATAATTCTGATATATGGTATGCATAAAAAATACAATAAAGAGTAAAAACAAAAGGAATTTTGTTATATTATATAGAACACCAATACCATGATATTTATTCCAAGGATATGAAGCAAGAGCTAACATAGTAGCGGCAGTTTCTGGCACCCCAGAAATGGTGCGAGATGCGCAGTACTGCAGAAACCAGCAGCTTGATAGGCAGAAGCACACGCTGCGCCGGACTGACTTTCCATACAACTGAAGGTGAGGAATAATAATAATATTTAAATGCATAGAGCTGAGGCAACACAGATGAAACTTGGAAACACATCAACTAGTCACCAGAGGTATCAAATATCACTGACAATAAGGGGGATCACTCATTCAAACACAGTTCAAATTCAATTTTTTTCCTTTAAAAGCAAATGCAGCCATTTGAAGACATCACCAATGAACAATGATGTATTGAAATTCTTTCGGCTAAACCAAGATGATGTATACAATGTATACCTGTGGTTACCTTATCAGCAAGTTTGACAGTTGTTACATCACTTAGAGCCATGAGTGCAGCACAGCCAATGCGTGGTAAAATCGCCTGAAAATAAAAAAATTATTACAGGAATGTATATACCTCAAAATCAGTGCAAACAATCCCTGCAAAAAAATGCATATGAAAGCATTGAGTTTGGAAAATGAAGCCTCATAAAAGGAGAGAAGAAATTTTATAATGAATATATTGATTGATTAAAATGTAAAATTTCTGATAAATAATATGATTCAAAGGAATTTAAAAAAAATCTGTATTAGTGCAAGCTTCTAAACATGCAGGTAATTTCAAGTATACCTATATGTCTCAAAAGCTAAAGAATCATTGATTTAAAATTCAGTAAAAAATAGAATCCACAAAAAATTGTTACAATATAGTTTGAAGCAACTGACCAGAAGTACAGCATAATCTAGTCGTAGCACAGCTAGAACCTTGTACAGGACAGCAAACAACCCAGGGAAAAAGATGCTCCTGATGCACTCATGCCACTCCCAAGTCAGGTAACCATATCTGTGGGAAAAATTAGAATTGATTAATTAACTTACTTTGCTTAATAACTCTCTGTAGAGAATCATTTCAGAATTAATGCAGGACAATAATAGCCCTGGATTTGAAAAAATCAGACTTTTTCCTATAGAAAAAAGCCCCAAATTTGACAAATTACAAAACTTACCTGATTTTTATTATCTATAGATGAATGCATTGAACTCTTTGATTTTATGAAGTTATTATATTTTCACTCACCCAAATACCATTCGATGAGCAACCTCCAAACTCTGCCAGTATTCATCAGGAACAAAATATGTCTGGACAAAAATTACACTCAGAAAACGCAAGAAAAGAAACTGAAGAAACATTATATTATTTATTCAAAAAGGACCATAGCCATGATAAGCATGAATAAAAATTTTCTATTAGAAATTACTTGGAGATAATTTTTAATTAATTAAGAATTTAAAAGTGATCTTTGTATAGTAACAGTCAGGACAGTCCACAATTCCTCTTAAGTTCTTATTTGATATCCATAGCATCATGATGTCTAAACATGCATATTGGAAAGTTCCTCCACACCTCTGAAAAGAGACACTGTTACAAAACAATTATGGAAGCCTTTGTTCAAAAATAGTATGGCCAGGATCAAAATTTAAACAAAAGGTTGTTTTCAGAAGAATATTTTCAAGTATGTATAAGTAATAAATCATGTAACTGTTGATTCTACTTCACAAGTCTGCATATTAGCCCAAGTGGGCCTAATGAGTGGGCCTGGTTGACATGAGAAAGATTAGTGGGCCTGTTCCAATTCCATTGCCAACTATTCTAGTGAAGAAATTGCCACTAATTCCACATGATAAAAAAAAAATGAAGTACTGTCAAACAGGGTAATAAGGGACAATTCTGAGCATTTTTTTGTTAGCAACATTTTACTATGAAACATTTCAAAAATAAATTTAGGCTCATTTTAAAAATCGTTGCAAGGGCTATTGCATAGCATCTCTGAAAAATTCCATATGCTATTTGTAAGGTGCCAGACGCAAAAGAAAAGTGTCCCAAAGTATCCCTGGGAATGAGGTAATTTGGGACATGTGAAATAAAACTCAATTTTAAAATGTTTGAAGCATGCAGTATGTGATCATCCCTGAATAATAGTACTCCAAAGTCTTCCTCTCTTTTTGTAGATGATGTAGATGTAGAATAAATGACATTTTCTGTGACTTTTGCTTGTTTTTCCTTGACATAGTTCCTTTTTGGCACATTTTCTCATTTATGGAAAAAATGCACTATTGTGGTCGCCATGTCTGTCTGTCCGTCCGTTTGTCCGTCCGTCCGTGACCTCAAGTTTTTATTGACAAGAAAATGCGCTATCTGTCACTCACTGCAGTGAGTACTGAGTTATATTTTTTCCTTGTTTTGCTTTTCATACATTACCCTATCATTAGTGATGTGATATTACCTTACCCATGGACATGCCATTGAGCACTGAAAATGACCTTGTGTACTGCAAGCTTCATATAAGCAGCCATATAGCATTTCTTCTGGATCTGTAAGCTAACATGACTGGGCTTGTAATTTCACACCATTTAAATTGGATTAAGTGAACTCAATATAAAAAAAGATTGTAAAAAACATACCTGAAACCAAAAGAAATATTTTAGTGAAAACCATAATATTTGTAGAGAAGTAACTCATAGTTTAGGTTAATCAGTTTCCATTCTATGTTGCCTGGTGCACAATTTTATCTATGACATTCTATGCACAATTTTGTCATGAGTCATGACCAATGATGCATAAATTTTTTGTTATGTGAAATTTTTTTTGCTGAGCAAGGTAAATTGTAATCCAAATTCTTTGTTGTTAATAGATTTTTTCATTAAGTGGAGCCTTTGCTACAGAGGTTCTGCTGTGAATGCGTTTTTTAAGGGTGTCCTGTCTCCTGTGTTACCCCGGAGGTGTTCCTTATTACATACCGTCAACTGGGGCTACTCGGGACAGATTTGATCGTTTTTTTGTTAATAACTTCTTACGATGAAACATTTCATAAACAAATTTAGGCTCATTTTATAGATCTTTGTGAGGGCTATCAAATGGCATTGTCAAAAAAATTCCATAAGCTATTCGTAAGGTGCCAGACGCAAAATAAAGATTGTCCCAAGTAGCCCCATCAGTCAGGGCTACTTGGGACAATGGGAATAAAACTTCATTTCAAAACATTTGAAGCATGCAGAGCATACTCATCCATTACTAACAGTACTCTGAAGTCCTCATCTTTCATTGCAGATGATGTAGAGGTAGAATAAATGACATTTTCTGTGATTTTTACTTGTTTTTCCTTTATTGATATGATATTGCAATATACAGTAATTACCATACTATTAATGTGCAATTGTCGTATTATTGATGCAATATTACCGTATCCATGAACATGTCATTGAGCATTTACAACAACCTTGTCCACTGCAAGCTTCATATCAGCAGCCTTATAGCATTTTTTTTTGTATCTGTAAGCTTACAGGATGGCTCGTAATTTCACATCATTTTAATTGGGTTAAGTGAATTTACTATAGTAAAAAATATCGTGAAAAACATACCTGAAACAGAAAGAAATGTTTCAGTGACAACCAACATTTCTTTTGGAGAAATAAATCATAGTTTAGGTCAATTACTTTTCATTCTATGATGCCTGGTGCGGTGCACAATTCTATACATGACATGCTATGCACAATTATGTGATGACCGATGATGCACTAATTTTTTGATAAGTGAAATTTTTTTTGCTGAGCAAGGAAAATGTGATCAATATTCTTTGTTTTTAATAATTTTTTTTCGTAATTGGAGCCTTTGCTAACTGAGGTTCTACCATAAATGCGTTTTTGGGGGTGTCCCCAATAGCCCCGTGGGGGTGTCCCGACTCCCGAGTAGCCCCGCCGTGCGGAAATGGCTGCCATTTCTTTTTGGAATGAGATAGGCAAATTCTGTCAATTACGTTTTCAAGCCGACACCTGGGTGCAATTTTTACGTAGGTAAAATTTTTTAATATGGCGAATATATTTTTTGCTACATACCTTAACAGTTATAACTTTACAAAATATAGTTTTTCACCATTTTTTCAGGAATTTTTCAAAGCAAGTAAATGTAGTATTTTTCGACTTCCTCTATACTACATAGATAGGAAAAATGTTGAAGTTTATGCCACTATTTTTAGTTTTGCAATATTCCAATTAGTTTTGCTACCACAACAGTTTTACGCCGTGTCAGAGGCCTGTCCCGACTCCCGAGTAGCCCCGGTTGACGGTACCATCAATTTATATCAAATGGTGTAAAAAGCCATTGTATATAGCAAACCATTCTGCGCCCGCCGCCCATCACTAAATGGCTTGGCAAGTGGGAACAGCAGCCAACCAGTTGCAGCTGAAAGCAAGGGGATGTATACACCAGCAGAAACAGACCCAGCCTCAGAACGAGATCCATCGGTGTAGATTGGGATGTGTCCAGAGTAAAATTGGGCCATCCTGTAATGCTAGTATAGTTGAGACTTGAGAAAGAGCTATCATTATGAGGCAAGGCCATTCCACCACTGGGATCAAGACATATCTGATTATGTAAGGAGATCCAGGGAGGAATTGATAAGAAGGCTGGGCCGCTGGGGTCCTCACTTGGCAAGGCATAGCAATACCTACCTATCCATGGACTGAAACAAGTAACAAGCATGTGTCGCAAATAGATGCAAGTTATTGATCTGGGCACTAATAGTAATGGGGTCAATTCCCAGGAGCCCAGGCAATATTGCTTGTGTTGGAGAATATGCATAGCATAGGCAATAGGCAGCATAGCAAAGACACCTTTTCATAAATAGGAAGCAGAAGCGGAGGCAGCAGGCAGGAAGCTTTCAGCCTCTAGGTCTAGGGACCTAATTGGAGAAGTGCGGCGAGCTCCCAGGTCCCCAGGATGAGCCGTAGAGCGCTGTTCTGTACACTCTCTAGTGATTTGATGCTGGAAGAGGGCAGCTCACGCCTCACTACATGATGATTGCTGAAACGATACTAGGAGGTATTGAGGCGTGATGCCGTGATCCACCTGGCTAACAAACGATCGCTCAATTGATGCGGGGAACATGGTGGTTCCGTAATTGCGGAAGCAGGAGAAGTAACAAAATTCGCAATACATCATCGGTGCAATACCAACAACTATTCAAGTTATATCCATTCTATGGGGACGACTGAAGTAGCCCAGCATTGCCCAATACCAGCATAATTTTCATACTTCTCCCCGTGCGCAAGCATGCTGCATAGCAAATTAGCCAACATGATTACTTGCCGAAAGCCACATGGACCAAACCCCTTCATGTATGGAAACCAGCGAGCCAATGAGCTGCAGGCCGCCAAAACAATGGTCGTAACCCACACGCTAAACCCCAAAATATTTCTATTACATGCAGCCTAGCCCCTTCCCCACTTTCGATAAAGAACGCCCTGCGCCACCGTGCTATCAGTACACTGCTACCTCTTCAGCCTGTCCGTTCTTCTGGAGGCTAAACCTCCACGCTTACCCCCTGCTCCCCCTCCTTTCGGTACCAGCTTGCGGAAGAATTCTAACTAAACCTAACCTAACCCTTTCGCGGAAAGGTGGAGAGAAGGGGGTAAGTGTGGAGGAAGAAGATGCTGGTGAGAGTTAGGGCTGGGCTTACGCCTGCGAAGTGGGTAAGGTGATGCGACAGTCAGGTGCGGGGCCGTTCCCATTTACGGCAGTCTGGTGCGGTCTGCGGACTCTGTGGCTTACGGCATTCGTAAGAAGTGATGGTATGGGCTTAAATCCTTGGTGTAGGAGCTATTGGGCGTAATCCGTTTGGAGTATCAGCTTGTGGGCTGAGGCATTGCTTGTTTCAAGCTGGTGTGGCGAGATGAGCAGAGCTGGGCAGCGCTACTTGGAAATGTAGCGGCGCTACCGCTACCGCTACATGCTCTAAATGTAGCGGGCGCTACCGCTACCGCTACACTCACTAGATTGTAACGGGCGCTACCGCTACCGCTACAGTAAAATGTAGCGCGCTACATTAGCCGCTACAATGGCCAAAATTATTGGAAATCTCTAAATATTTATTGTTCTGCNGGGTAAGGTGATGCGACAGTCCGGTGCGGGGCTGTTCCCATTTACTGCAGTCTGGTGCGGTCCGCGGACCCTGTGGCTTACAGCATTTGTAAGAAGTGATGGTATGGGCCTAAATCATTGGTGTAGGTCTGTAGGAGCTATTGGGCGTAATCCGTTTGGAGTATCAGCTTGTGGGCTGAGGCATTGCTTGTTTCAAGCTGGTGTGGCGAGATGAGGCAAGTAAGAACAGCTGCATAGGTGTTATGCTGACTATTTCTATTGCATGTAGAGGGTTGGCATTGGCTCTTGGGCTGATTTAAGAGTCAAATTTTCGGGCTACGGCAGCGCTCCCCATTCTATGCACTGACTGCAAGCTCTGCTGCGTTTGAATCAACACACTGACTGGTTTTACATGCTCAGCAGTCGGTGGCCAGACACTTCATAAGAGGAGACATCATCATTGACGCATTTCATCACAGAAAGAGCAACGATGAAAAGTTGCGGTGATGAATTGTTATTTTAATGGAATATCGTAACGATCAAATGCCCAATGACGAATTGCTATTGTGATGCAACCTGTCAATGATATAATGCACTATGATGAATTTTTATTGTAATGAAACTTCTCATATGATGAGGTGCCAGGAAATCTCACCGGTCACATCCCCAAAACAAAATGAAATTATACGTGCTAAGTCACAAATTACTACAAGTAGATCACTTACTCGATATGAATAACCACCACCTCACGCTCCTCAAACCATGGTTGAACTATGTAAGGTTGACCCACGAGAAGTTCCGTCTTTCAGTTCAGCTTTCTCGTTACGTCATGTAGATCGAGAAACATAAACAAACCCGTCATTTCCACGACGGTTTGGTCGACAGGTTTGATCGCACTTCGGTGATTGGTAGATACCCGTGACGTCACTGAGATCAGTGACGTCACAGCACTCACAGGCCAACAACGAACTATATTCGCAAAAACGGGCTTCTGATGGGTCAACCTTATACTAGTTCAACCATGCCTCAAACAATCAGCACTCTGTCAGAGCCATTGAAACAATATATTTATTGTCACGCAAGATTTCAGAGTCACGCAAGATTTAAACACTTCAATGTGCCACCGAATAGAGTTATTAAATAATAAGAATAATGAATTAATATAAATGATATCTGCATAAACACTTCAAAAACGCTTTTCAAGACATGGGACAAAAAAAAATTAATGCAATATATTGAAGTTTTTATTATTTTTTTTCAAACTTAAACTGCTATCAACATTCTCAGTTTCTGGCAAACCCTCTCCCGCCACCTCTTCCGAAACTTCCTCGGCCACCGAAGCCTCCACCACCACCACGACCACCAAACCCTCCACCACCACCACGACCACCAAACCCTCCACCACCACCACGACCACCAAATCCACCTCCACGACCACCCCCGCGTCCACCAAATCCACCGCCGCGTCCTCCACCAAATCCACCACCGCGCCCCCCTCTTGCACCACCGCGTCCTGAAAAATTATTATTGTTGGAAAATCGTTACACTGTCTAAATAGATCATTTTAATACAAGGAAGTCGAATGATACTGAAAAATTAAATTATAAATGAGGAGGTACATGTTCTTTTAGTCGTATCACCCTTAGAAACAAATCATCACCAACACTTTAATTTTCACCATTATCGAACATGTAATTGGCATCATATCACATAGAAAGTAGTTCAGTTCATTATACACGAGATCAAAATGTATCATTGTCAACTCAAATGAACCAATCAAAATGTAGTAAGAGCAGTGATTTCATGATGCTCCGCTCCAATTCAGCAACTCGAAGCATAGTAATTCTTACACTCCAGCTTTAGCGTAACTTCGGCTGACGGACTTCTTACATATATAAATACAATAACGAATAGGTGCAATATTTTTCATGGATCACTTGGATTCCAAGCATAGTACGAAGAAAAACTCATGGCTATTTCCGAGAGACAGCATAAAAACGATATAATACATGGTATCTATTATCATACAGTACTCACCTCTGCTACCTCCACGACCACCGGAAGATTCAGCACCAGATGTGAACCGTGAGATTGGGAGCAGTTTGTAGGGGTCTATAAACAACTGTGGACGAAGGTGATATATTAATTTATTGAATTATGCAGTCATTTGCACTCATTACCTGAAAATAAACAATAAATAACATTATATGATGTTTTCATTCTTTCATGAATTGTTATAAGAAATAAGCAATTTATGCACTAAAATGTGTATGACATATGTACATATAGTTATGCTTGACTTGAACCAAAGTTTGCTTCAAGAGTGCTTGGCGGTTAAGCAGCCTGAAATTAACTGAGATATAAGGTAAGAAATGGTAAAGAATATAAGAGTCTGAGGTAATTTAGGTTAGGTTATATATTTACAATAAAAATTACATTTAACAAGTCACACTACAATATAAAGCTATGAAATCATCACTTAACATTAAATGGTGACCAATTAGTAACTTACTTTTCTGCTGTTGTTAAAAGATGAAGCAGCCTTCGCCTCAGGAAGTCTTACAGAGATGAATATTTCATCAGGAGTTCCAAAAATTTCATCAATTTTTCCTACCTGTAACATTTAGACTACACATTAAGACCTTATTGATAAACAAATGAACTTACTACTCAATAGCTACCTATATGTATATATGCATATCAAGAATTAGGTATTGAAACTTGCAACAGCTATCTATATGAAAAGATGTTTAGTGCAACATAATTGGGGAGCAAAATGATTGGTTTTCTTTAAGGGAAAATGAACAAGAAGTTTTTAGAAATGATTTTCGGACAAAACATAAAAAATTAAGCTAACTGTTTGGAACACTTCACTTAGACATTGAGTGGTTAAAACGACCATACTAATAATAACTAAACTGTAAACAAATTCAAGGCTATGATTACCTCTTCTTTATCTTCAAAATAAAGTGGAGCATTGAAGTGTGGCGGATCCTTGTGTACAACACGACACACCAAATCTCCCTCACAGGAATGCATGAATTCTGCATACTCTATTACTCGCTCAGGAGGACCTGCATTGAAACCACCTGCAAAAAATAAATAAAACAAGAAATCAAATTATGAAAGATTATAGTGCATTTCTTAAAATGATGAGGTTAAACTGAATCACATTTTTAATTAAAAAACTAGAAGAATGTAAAATACAGACCATTTCATGACTGTCAGTTTTTCCCAACAAGTGCCAATATGAAATATCCAGTAAAATTGTATCAAATTTGTAGACAAAATATTTACTTAAAAAGTCAATTATTAATAATGTTCACTTTAAATATTAAAAAAACTGGATAGATAAAAACTAAGGATTTTTTATGCACAGTATATATATGCTAATATTCAATAGCATCTAAACTATAAACAAAAACATGAGACATTACAAAGGTGAAAGTCCCAAATAGCTATTCCAATGAACATTTGCTACCAATTATAATATTTCTCCACGAATTGACATACCGTATAATAGTCAATCCAAACTGGAAAATTGAGCATGAGCCCTTGGCCTCTCAGTGGCCTTAATTACACACATTAAAAAAATTGATAGTAAAAAGATTTTTAATTTTTTTCTAAATTATGTGCAAAGCTGTAAAGTTTTCCTAATTTATAGTAAAAAAAATTCAGTCAAAGACCAAGGAATGTCTAAAATTTACCAGATACACATGGCAGTCACAGACATTTTTTGTCTTGTTTCTCTTCATTATCTGTATTATCATAGAAGGCTTCAGATCAATTTTCAAATTAGATAGCCATCACTAGTTCACTACCAAAATTAGGAAAATCGCCTGTGCACAAGTGCAATTCAACTTGATCTTATGACCCTGGTCTTAGTGGTCTAATATATTTTGTAAGATATAGAACATTGATTATTTTTGTATTTTGAAACTTAAACCTTAACTCACGGTTACTCACCTCGGCCACCTCCAAAACCTCCTCTTCCACCTCGCCCTCCACCTCGTCCACCAAAACCTCTCCCTCCTTGAAATGGTGCCATTCTAATGCTTAACACTAGGGAAAATACAAAATTCATCAGGAAAATAATTTTTAAAATTGTTCATAAAGTTTATCAATTATCATCACTTGATAATCCATCCTTTCCCAAGCTTTAGGCTATATTTACTTCCGTCGTATTAGTGAATAGTGAAAACCATTTAAATTATACCATAATCAAAATAAGGTATTTAAAAAAAAGTAATACATATTCATCATATATCTTATTTAAAAATTTTTATACTCACAGACAACAAATATTGATTTTAGTCTTAGATCTCAACGTTGGGCTCAAGTCTCAACCACACCGGCCAAACGTTGTAAACAACATACCTAATCACAGAGATGTACGCCAGCCTTGTCAATTTTGAAGGTCAAGAAACTTGGACTGCGAATTAGATTTGTGAACTGGTTCTACATATGAATTAAATAAAAATTAAATTTAACTGAATAACGTCGAGAAGACGTGCAAATTTAACATCTATTCTGTTTTCCAAACATTCATATATAACTGCGACTAACTAAGAAAAATAAAAGACTATCGAGCCAATTAGCAATTACTCGTCGTGGGCTGGCACTGGAGTTGTCACTTCACACGTCATATCACATCGCACGTCATATAAAATAGAAGTGTTGGTACTGAATAAATAGGCCCATAGCCTGTTGGAGATTCCTGTTCTTTTCGTGACTATTCCACAAGGGATCCGGCCTTTTGAACCCGATCTTTAAAATAACTGACGTACTTTACCTTTGAACGAGAATCAAAGTATTAGGTAATGCAAATGATATGTTTTATGAAACTCGGTCGCGACTAGCTGAAAGAAAATATACAAGCTAAAAAATTTGTCGTCCGGTTGACAAAAAGGCAAGTCCTAATGTCATAACGAACAGTTTTTTACGAGGAAGCGTCTTCACACTCGAGAAGTCTGGACAAAAGAAAACATTTTCTCCAGTGTAAGTAATCAATAGTTGGACTAATCTTCATGACGAGATAGTCAATGCTTCAACCACTTTAGCAGTAGGCATGACAAGACAATAAGCGACCATCGATACTCAGTAGTAGTATAATGGTTTGCTAGCGCTTCAGCTATCAAGCTCTTGTTGTTCGGTGCGACGGTCACGATCGCCGGGGGGGGGGAGGCTCTGGTGGTGACCAGGAGGAAGGCACCGGAAGAGGGGGGGAGATATGCGAAGGCAGTGAGGGTGGCCAGGAATGCCGCTGCCTGCACGGGGCTGTCCCACAATGAGGAGACGCTGAGAGACAAGGGGAAGGCGGAGCAGGCGAAGAGATGCTGGACGGACTGGAGGAGATCCCCGCACTTCGGGCAGGCGGAGCTAGAGGAGCGTCCGATCCTAGCGGAGTAGGACGCCAGGGAGCTGCACTGGGATAGCGCCGAGCGGTAGGGGCGAGGGAGTGAGGCCTCCACTGATGCAATCGGCGGTGGCGGGCCTGCGAGGACGGCGTTTATGGCGTCAGTCGCCGCAACGCGGGAGGCGATCTCCCTGCGGAGGTACCGCTTGGCCTCTTCGTAGGCACCAGCGGGCATTATACCATTAGCCAAGAATGGTGTGACCAGGTGGCTGAAACTCGACTGGATGGAGTCTTTCATGGGGCGGTCCCCGAGGGGAGCAGAAGCGATGCGGAATGAGGTATGGGAAGGCTGGAGGGCGCTGGCGAGGAACTGGGCACAGGCCAGGTCTAGGTGAGCGGATAATGGGAGGAAGCCGGTCTCCTGGTGAAGATGAATGATCGGGGCCATTCTGAGGCAGCCGGTGGTGAATCTCAGTGCAGTGCTTTGTATGGTTTGATGGCTGGAAATTGCTGTGCGTGAGGCGACAGTGGGCCGTGTAGTTGAGGATTGGGCGCGTGATGGTTCGGTAGGTGGCAATAATGTCCTCCTTGGAGAAGCCCCAGTTGGTGCCGGCAAGGGCTTTTAGGATGCGAGGGGATCCCGATGAGCTGTGGTGGTGCAGTGGTGAGCGACTCGGTCTCTCGCACCCAGCTCCCGGGTTCGAGTCCCACTGAGGACAAGTTCTTCCGGGAAGCTCAGCTCATGGTCAACTCAGCCATTCATCCAACTCTGGTTGATAAATGAGTACCTGGCTTGTCCAGGGTGTTGTGTAATGCAATAAAATGGTTCTGGCGTTTCAGCGAGCCAGTGATGGTCGTAGAACTACCAGTGGCACCAAGTGCCCGGAAAAACTGACCTATCACCCCCCCCTCCCTAGTCGCCACTACCAGGATGGGCAATTACAACAACAACAAGGGATCCCGTCGCTTTCGTGGCTATGGCTCTAGCGTGAAATGCGTATCCCAGGTTACGCCTAGGATTTTGGGGGTTTTATCCAGGGGGATGATGCCGTTGCAGATTGTGGCAGCAAGGTGGGAAGATTGGTGGGTGTCTGGGGTGAAGAGCGTGACCCGAGCATTTGCCAGGAGCCACGCCCAGTTTCTTGGCAGCCGACCAATCCGAGATGTTCCGAAGGAGCACTACGATCTCAGCCTCAGCAGCGTCGAGCCTCGGGGACGACACGAAGATGGTAAGGTCGTAAGCATATGAAGCAATGTTGGAGGTCGGCACTGGGATATTGGAGATGAAGTGGTTGAAGTGGGCCGGCGAGATGACCGAGCCTTGGGGCACTCCCGAGTTAATAGCTCTGAAAGGCGATTGCGTTCTGAGGTAGAGGCAGGATGCCTGCCTCTAAGGTAGCAGCGCAGCCATCGGACCAGGTTATGATGTAGGTCCGAGGCCGCGATCTTGCTCAGAAGGAGAGGATGATTGACACTGTCGCAGGCCTTCGAGAGGTCGACTGCAGCGGCGACTGTGCGGGCTGGAGGGCGCAGAGAGTTAAAACCCGTCGCGATCTGATGCGCGAGCGGGAGGAGGGCGGTGACTGTAGAGTGTCCCGGCTTGAAACCATGTTGCGAGGGGACGGTGGTGAGAGATCCTAAGATGTAAGGGAGCACAAGACGCTCTAGGATCTTGGCTGCAGGGTAGAGGAGGGAGATAGGGTGGTATGAGGAGCCCTGGTTTCCAGGTTTGCCCGGTTTGAGGATTGGAATTATTGAATTTTTCTAAATGGCTGGGATAGAGGCTGTGCAGACGGAGATATTAAAGATACGGGTGAGAAATTGGAGGCCACGCGGGCCGAGGTGCTCAAGATAAAGGACCGTGAGGCCGTCAGGACCCCGAGCGGAAGATTTTTTGGCGGCTGCGATGGCGAGCTTCACCATGTCGGGAGTGAAAGGGGAGAAGTCCCTGTCGAGGGGATGTTCGGTCCGGATTCGACGTATGAGGCGGCGGGTGGAGGGGCTCTGAGAATGAGGAGCGATCGAAGTGACAAGCTTGCAGAAGGCGGAGGAGATCTTGCGCTAGGAGGAGAGGGAATTCAGACCAAATTTGATTGGCTGATTAGGGGGAGGGCGGTTACGCTTTCAGGCTAGGGAGCGGAGGAGATTCCAATGTTTGGATTGGTTGGTGCGTCTGCTGCAAAACGCAAGATGCGTTTGCCAGGTGTTCCTGACGTGGGCCTGTATGGAGATGCGCCGATGAGTTCTGGGAGCCTGATTAGTATAGCAATTCATAGTATCTCAAAATTGTTAATATTAGTCTAGCAATTCATAGCATCTCAAAATTGTTAATATTTATAGAACCGTTGAAGACTGATAGAAGCCGACGGTTTAAAATTCAGAAGCGGGTATAGGACGCCTCACGTAGGCGGGTAGCGAACGGGGATATAAAAGGAAGGAGCTAGGAGAAGCGGCAGCGCAGTGTTGAACAGCCGTCGCGCTGGAAGGTTGTCGTTCTCGTGCGGAGACTCTCCAGTGTGATCGATTGAGTGAAGGACAGTATTCCGGTGAAGACTCGTCTTATTGAGTATGACATCAGAGAAGAATTTAGTACGCCTTCGGAGAATCAGCACAGAAGAGACGAATTTCTAGTCGCAGCCATCGGCGAACGTCCAACACAGAAGAGACTGTTTCGAGATAGAGTTTATTACGGGAACCAGTATCTACACCCCAAATATCACGCACACTAGGGAACGCGGACTGAAGACTTCCGTTTCTGATCTTCGCCGTCACCTAGCCTTGGGAAAACTCGCCACCGCTGCGTAGTGGCCTCGCCATCTCCAAATTTTCGGTGATGTACTCCGGGAAACTGTTAGAACTATCTCATTTTCCGTAGAATCAGAGAAGTGAAATAACTGGGTAAATAGGTCGGGATAGGATTTTATGTTGAGCACAAATACTATGTCGGGAAATTCCCCTGTGTACTCTGTATGAGCTACCTATTTTGGTGACAATATAGGACTATATTTCGTGTAAATCGTGCTCTGCCGACTGTCTCATTTGTATTAGACTAGATTTTTCATATAATATAGTAACTATAGAATTTATCTCCATGTGTTGTCATTGTTCCTTTGCTAACTAGTTCGCTGTTCTGACTTTGAGAACCGTAAATCACGCGCCGTTTACCGCCACTCTGGCAAAAAGTCAACCTGGTCAATTCCTAATATTTATCAGAAGGTAGAAAGTCGATGAGTTACCTCAATAAATTTACGACAAAAAAATGGTATTTCAGATTTAAATTCGTGGCCAAGTAGAAATTATTAAAGATCTCAAAAAGAGGTAAATATTAGGGAGAATTAGGAAGTCTTAGACTTTATAACAAACCTACAAACCAAGTTTTATTCTGAATGAATAAAGTAGGTAATATTGACAGTAGGTAATATTGAACATGTATTATGCATAGATGTTAAGAATGCCAAGAATGCGGCGCGGTTGTTTCGAGACCGTGGGAAGCATCGAACGTTGGCGAGGGAAATTCCATTATAGGAATGTGGCGTTACTTCGAGGGTTAGGCTTAACNGTGGCCTCCATGGTGGTGTCGCCGCGTAGGAGGGGAGAGATGTCACGCCCGGTGTACGTGACGTCGTGGCGGATCAGGATGAGGAGACCGCCACCGTGACCTCCGGGACGGTCCCTGCGTCCAGCGCGCATCCGGGGAAAGAGGGAGGGCGGGAGGCCGCTGATAGTTTTGTCTCCTGGACGCAGGGCAGGCAATCGCAAAATTGTACTGGGCGAGGAAGGCAGCCAGTTTAACTGCGCTGGAATTGATCCCATTGCAGTTAAACTGGAGGACGCAGAGGTGAGTGGAGGCCGCCGGAGGGGGAGGGCGAGGGGGGAGCGGGGTCTGGCTGGGATCAAGTCAGACCGTGTGCACGTAGGGCAGATCCAGTCTGCGGAGTAGAGATGAATGGAGCGCAGGCCGGAACACCGCTTGTGGGTCCAAGCATTGCACCTGGAGCGCAGGAACGAGTAACCTCGCCACGCAACTGGGAGGGAGCAGACTGAGCAGGGGT